TTACAGCCTAGTCGCAACTATTCCGCGAATGCATCTACTACTGGATCGGAATCGCGATTCGCTCAGCAGGTCGGACGAGAAACTCAACGGGCTAATGAATTAGTTAGGTTTCACGTCCAAATCTTTGAAGACTTTGATGGGTACGGATGCCGGGATCGCTATGGCTGATCTTAGTACTAGAGCTATAGACGTCTAATGACAATGTTAACGGTTTTTTTCTTTCAAAATGGGTAGTACCAATCCACTACTCGCTGTACCTACTTGTCCGCTTAATATCAAATAGGTTCGGAAGCTTTCTTGCCTATGCTACTAAGAAATAAAGTTCCACTACTAAAATTTTTAAGAGACTTAGAGTTCGTGCATCATATGTATTCACATGTATTCTTTACCTTCCCATTACCTCTTCAATAATACGATCGCGTGGACGATTCTCTAAATCTAAAAAGGACATTAAATCAGCGTCACAGTCAGATCAAACTATATAAATGTACTCTCACGTTTATTTACAATACATTCCTAAATTTTACCTCTGCAGGCACAAGATTTGATTGAGGATATATTGCATCGCAGAACTGAAATTGAATATAAAATACCACAAAATATTACTTTGTTCAAAACTATAAGCTCTTCATGCTATTATTACTCTCAGAGCAGCTAGCGACTGGTGAAGCCAAGGTATAGAGAACGAATGCCATTCAGCATGGGCTTAGTCAACTCTCAAGTTATTTAGAACTTGACATTGCTTTAAGGCATCATTCTTAATTTACGTCTCCCCATGAGAAATAACGACACAAATCACAATCCGGACCACTGATTTAATAAAATTTCATCACATCCCTATAAGGAGAAAAGTTTTAACCATTTCCTGCAACACTCGCGTCGCGTCTAAGGCAAAACAGACACGGTCTGGCAAAATATGGCTGTGGAAAGTCATTAGGAACGCTGTAAGGGAAAATAGGTACGACTCCTGAGAGGAAATACGAATAGAGGTGCTCTCTGAATTCAAAGTTTATAAAATAGACAATACGACTTTTATTTTGTTTCACAAAGTCAAGTGGGAGGAAATTCAACAGAAAGCTGAAATTGCCCTGAGTTTACTCGGTGAAAAATATTATTCTTTAGTGGTAGATAGAACTCGTCTAGTTATTGATTTATGTATATTACAACGAGAATGTTTTGAGGTTTTTTTTTTCTTATTGATTTTATAGGTGGACGAGCTCATGGCCCACCTGGTATTAAGTGGTTACCGGAGTTACACATCAACAACGTAAATGCCACCCACCTTGAGATGTGAGTTCTAAGGTCTCAGTATAGTTGCAACGGCTGCCCCACCCTTCAAACATTACTTATATATTCTATACTTCACGGTAGAAATAGGCGGGGTAGTGGTACCTATCCGTGCGGACTCACAAGAGGTCCTACCACTAGGTTTCACTTGCATTAAAATAAACGCAATCTTAAAGGTTAAAACAGAAATTTATCCCTGAGAAACCGAAAGGACAATGTGAAATTTGGGCTACGGAGACCCTTGTCGAAATTCAAGAAATCTCACCGTTTCAACTGAAACGCCGTGAAAGTGAAAGTTCGGAGATTTTTTCCTAACCCAAAAAAAAAAACATTTCTAAGGGGAAGGCGGAACGGTATACCCTCCGATTCGAATGACTAGTGTAGCCTACAAAATACACCTACGTTTCTTTCACAGAAAGACTATAATATCTTTTTCAGCAGTCCGAATTACAATCATCTCTTCCACCATATCTTCATCAGAAACAGCAGCAGAATTGTAAAAATATATGTTTTTGAACGAGGCATTACTTGTGGCTCTCCAGTTTCACCAGGACAGGTGGGCGAGCAGAGGCTCAGCCAGGATGGGTAAGATTTACTAACAGCTGCCCGAGCGCCTCCAAAGGAGACCTAACAACTCAAGGGCAGCTGCTTCGCGAATGAATCTACTACCGGATCGAAATCGGGACCCGCTGAGAAGATCCAGCGAGAAACTCAGCGGGCTGATGTCTAGGTTAGGTTGCACGTCGAACTCTTTGCCAAGTTCGACGAGTACGGTTACCCTCGGTAACTACTCCTAACGTTAAGAGCTAACGGCGTCTAATGCAACGGTTATTGGATCTAATAGATCGGTAAGGACGTCGACGGTGACTGGCTCCTACGTGATCAGGATTCGGGGAGTAATAAGCGGCGGCAACCATAAGGAAATTATCATGTCGCATAGGCTTATCGAAGTAACGTTCCGACGCTGTATTCGTCTGTTTTCGGATGGATTCGAGATCCAGTTCGTCGTGTAGATCAACGTCACGAACCACGGAGGTTCGACCAAAAGCAAAAAGCGGGATTGGAGGTTTTCTATATGTTTGCGGGCTGCGTGAGCGAACACAACACTCGCGTAAGCCATAACGGGCCTTATGCGAGTTTTGTAAAGTGTCAACTTGTTCCGAAGGGACATTTTACTTCGCTTACAGATCATAGGATCATAGAGTCTGCCGAGAATAGACACAGCGCGGTCGCGGAAAACATTTTGTCTAAAAATCTCGATGCTCGTTCTTTCCTTTAAAATCGTTTCCTGTTTTAGGATATATCCGAATTTCTATAAATGTCGGACTCTATCGGAGTCTTGGGTATAAAAATAGGGAATTAGAAAAATATATATATTCACGAACTCAATAATCCTAATGCCACAAATGCACTCAATTCAACTTAATGGTTCAAATTAATAAATTCATGCAAAGAAAACAAAGAGCCATTATAGTTTTTACTATTTTTATTTCCTAGTCTCAAACACAAATCAAGACGTACACGATTATTGCAAGCAAGATGATAAATAATGATAAATAATATTTCGAAATACAAAAAGATCAGTCAATACTCATTACGTACACGCTTTACTGACAACATTTTCTGTTATGTTTTCACTCGTGGATCAAGAACACTTTCAACCAAACAAATACATGATTAAAGCTATTTATATTCTACGTCTTTCAAAAACGCTGGAAGCTGTGGTGGTAAATATCTCAAGGAGTCCCAGTAGCTGTCATCTATTACTTTAGATTGGTCAAGTAATTTACTATCGTTACTGTTAATAGTATTATCTTGGATTACATTACACGGTCCAGAGATTTTCAAGAGCTCATTCGAAACACCTACATATCGATTTTTGTGAAACGAACATCCTGTTTCTACTACATAAAAACATTCCTCTTTAGACTTAACATTTGAATCATTCGAATTCGGTTTTATTACTATATGCGGATAATCTTTCAAAGTATTCAAATTTGATCTACGCGCTTTTCTAATATCATTAGTTTTAACATCCGTCCAGTCGAGAAAGGATTTTCTAGGTGTACATATGTTTCCTTGTTCTGAATGCTTTTCAATATTTTTGGCTAAGCATTGTAAATTATGGCATACGCATTTAAGTACATCACACGTACTTTCATTAGGTATTCCGTTACATGTAGTTGCTATAGATTTGTTATTCGGGTACCTATTTTTGTTTATTAAATGCTCTGATCCACGAATATTGCTATAGATACGGTTTTTATTGTGGCGTTGATTTTGATCAGTACTTTTAAGGAGGCTCTCGTCTATAATAGCGTATATATTTCCTGAAGCTGTAATCTTTAACGAACCTTTACTAAGAGTCGATTTGTTACTATTGAAATCGATTATTATTTCACCACTTTCAGTTTTAGTAACCGGCGCAAATCCATTGCAATCGACTAAATAGTTTTTAAGGTTATTTATCAAGTTAGTCTTTGTGTCTTTATCTAGAACCACGATCAGTTTACCAGAAGGAGTTTTCTTTAATGACTCAGAAGATTGCATTAAAGTTTGACTGTCTGGAACTTTTTTGTCTTTTTTGTACACTTTCGAATCACTTTTTGACTTTACGTGCAAATGAAAAGAACCCCGGGTGCTTAAATCTTCACATTCTTTTGATTCACATTTGTTTTTACTATTTTCTCTGTCTGTAACAATTTTAAAACTCTTAGACGAAGTCATCTTGAGTAAATGTCTAGTATTGGCTTCATCGTTTTCATCAAGATCTATAAGATAGTTTCCAGAATTGGTTTTATGCAATTTGAATTTACAAGTACCATTTTTGATGCATTCTTTCAATTGTTGGCTAAACCAACTCTCATATTCTTTATTCATAACTACTTTAAAGTTTTGTGATGCCGTCAACTTTAGAATAGCAGGTGCTTCAATAATTTTGTTTGAAATTTTTATTTTCAACTTGTTGACTTGAGTACTATCTTTTTCATCGTCTTTTTTTGCCGATTTAGTAATATTATTACGATTTTTGTAATCCAAAGATTTTTTCTTTAATTTTTTAATGTAATTTTTATTGAAATTACACGATGACGACTTTTCGCATGTTTTTGTTAATCTTTCAGGTGACAAGGATTTCGAGTGCACTAATTTTTCTAAGTTATTACTTTTTACGTTTAACTCACTCTTAACAGAATTTTTAGCGCTACGTATCTCCAAATACTTCGAACCAGAGCTGGTCTTTCTAATAGAAATCCTACTTCGATTTTGAACACATTCATCATTATCATCAAACCCTACAACAATACTTTCTGGACTTATATTTTTGACGTAGGCTAATTTATTTTCATTGATTCCATTTTCGATAAATTCTATAATTTTTTCATCTAATTCGGTCATTAATGTACCAGACTTAGAACTTGTTAGATTTATAATATGTTCTAAGATGTTAGTATGATTTTCATTTTTTTCTGCCACTATTTCTTCCACATTATTCTTATCTTTTGATACTAACAAAACATCGTCATTATTTTTATGTACAAGTTTCGAATCTTCATTAAAGGGAGGACAAACAGCTTTTAACGCTCTTTCCCATAAAATATCACAGTTTTCTTTATTGCAACCCTCGCAAATAACGACTTTTAGTTTTTTTGCATCTGTTGAAAATGGTATGAATAAATTTTAAAACGAGTAAATTACAAACAGAAGGAGCTTATTTTACGTGGGAGTACAAAGCTATTGAGGACAACTATATTGAGATACACTTATTAGTTGAATCCGATATCAGTGTATAATTAATAATAAATACTTAATTTCATTTAGATTTCAAATCCGGTTCTTGTAGTAGCTGTGTTTCAACTTCTATTTCATCTCTGGTAACATCACTCAAATCGTCTCGACCATATTTTGTCAATATCTCGATTCTCCTTACAAAAGAGTCAACGGTTACAAACTCTACTTGAGACATAAAATTTGCATTATCTAATATTTCTCCATCAGGAACTATTATATTATTTATCAAAGACTTGATATTGTCGTCCGTTTTTCCACCGATATCTCCATTTTTGTCCTTAGAAGTCAAATTTGTTGTATCAGTTTTTTCGTTCAACGTATTTCTGTGCACAGCTCGATTTACTGAATTATCTTTATTCAATAGTACAGCAATTCCCGTAGTTACTTTATTTCCATATTCATTTGTTGGCGTTGCATAAAAATCGCCTTTTAGGAATGGCTTAACTACATTATGGTCTTTGTTATTAGCATCGACTGCTGCAGTTGTATAACGTTGAACATTTTCGTTTTGTACAAATTCTCTTTGAGGTACGAATTCATTGCTCATTGATGAAAGCGGTCTTGAAATGATATAACCCGTCGAGCTACCAGAGGCTTTCGCGATCTCTCCAAATTGTATCTCACCCACATTGGCTACCTAAGAAAATTTAACTAACCTTAGCATCTCCTTGAAAACATGGTGGTTGAATTTTCGGGATCAAAATAAAACCACCATGTTAAGGTAACGAAAAATTTATTTCAAATTTTGCAACATTATGCCACACATACAAAAACAAAATCTAGCATCATTTATTGAAAACCAAACTTTCATTGGCAAACATCGAGTAACTTACTTTATCTATAGGCTGGACCTCAATGTACCTTCCCATTACTTCTTCAATAATACGATCGCGTGGACTATTCTCTAAATCTAAAAAGGACATTAAATCAGCGTCACAGTCAAATCAAACTATATAAATGTAATTGTACTCCCACGTTTATTTACAACACATTCCTAAATCTTACCTCTGCAGGCACAAGATTTGACTGAAGATATACTGCAATCGCAGAACTGAAATTGAAAATAAAATACCACAAAATATTACTTTTTTCAGTACTGTAAACTCTTCATGTTATTATAATATTATTCTCAGAGCAGTTAGCGACTAGTGAAGCCAAATTAAACAGAAAGACCGCCCAAGTGGAGTTTAGATTTTTTATATTCGGATTCCATCAAACATGTTTTTGCTTAAATAGTTGTATATCTAATGTTTAGTCCCGTTTCGGGTGCGCTAAAAGAAACCAACCTTTTCGTCCAAAACAGGAATCTCTGGTCGAAAAGGCACTGATAATCTGCTGCCTTTGGTTGGCGAATTTAGTATCTCCGGCCCCAGCACGCACTGAGCCGCCCTCATGTTCTTCGGATAGGCACAAGTAGAGTCTTTACAAGCGTTCGGCTTTAGGGCAGCCACCTCGGCTCCGACTCTACTAGGTACGGCTTGCATGGCGACGTCGGGACCGCACGAGGTCGACGTTTTGCGAGGACAAAATGAAACTTTACACTGAAAGCAATTACGATTCGAATTCAATGGTTTTTAATCGAGTTTCGGCACAGTTGTCACCAGCAGACCTGCTACTAATATATATTTATTTATTTAAGAATGATAAAACTAAACGTTCGAATATTGATAAGATAAAACTAATTTTACAAGAGAAAGCCGATTGACTAATGGCTTCAACAAATAGCCTCGCAAAGAGATTAAAATATATAGACAGTGGAAATCTTGTATATAGCTTACAACTCACAGGTAAAGTAAATATTGTGAATAGGATGAATAAAGTATAACAAGTTGCAATAGAACTTTATAGGAAACTAGCCGTACTCGCCCGCTTCGCTGGGCATTTAAAATTAACATTATTATTTATTGTCATTATTATTAGGGAGTCCAACGCTCATATAAACATTAGCCTATCCATTAAGTACATGTATTTTCTACATGAATGCTAAATTTCAAGTCAATCGGATGCATAGTTCAGTAGTTATACTGGAACATCCGTAAAAACCACTATAGATAATATATATTGGTATAGATATCAGTATAGATTAAAACGTATTTTATACAAAAATTCAAACAGCCCTAACACCAATGCATTATTTGCATTTCTCAAATTGGATAACGATTTCTAATTATATCTTTTGATGATGACTACATTATAAAAAGAAAAACTATCTCTAAAAATAACATCATATGCCTATTTCGAAAAGACTCGATAATATAATAAATACGTACTGTTTCTGCATTATCTACTCCTTCTGGAATTGAAGGCTCTTCTGGTGGTAGAGGCGGAGCAATTTTATCACACACACAGCCTTTGCCACCTTTCGGACAATTGCATTCACCGCCCCAGCGACGGCACGACTCCTGGGAGAGATTAGGACATTATTCAAAATGATTATCTCATCTTTTATCCTTTTTATTTCTGCCTAATAATTCCATTTATGGATGTTACACATTTGTTATGTTAATAGATATAAGCGCATGTACAGCCAGCCCATTGAGTTTCGTGAGTGGGTCGCGTTTCCGATCCGATGGTAGATTCTGCGAAGCACTGCTCTTGCTGAGGCTAGTGTTAGCATATTCCCTCAGGTTGAACCCGTGAGCTCACCTACCCGACCGCGTGTAGCTGGAATAGCCCCTTAGGCTACCAGTGAATAGGTAGAAAAAAAGCAACTACATACAACTACCTCACAATACCCAATAAACAATTTACATAAGAACCTTTTTGGAAGCAGTCCCTTTATCCTCTTTAGGAGGTCCAACGACTGTAACTTGTTTCAAGCAAAGCATCAACTGTTTATGTGTTTCAGGGTCCATCTGAAATTCAGTCATTTTAAAAAATATTCGAATATTACTTATAATGTCGATGAGTATGATCGAGTTTAAAAAACACTAACTTCACATCTAGTTTTCACAGCACCGCCGACAATGGTTAGGTTCAAATGTTGTTTAACTGTAGTCAAAACGAAATCTTGTAGCAACTTCCTTGTGGCCGCATCCAATTTTCCGTTTCTACTTTTTTTCAAACACTTCAATATCGCACCACCTACAGCTTTTCCTTTTTCGGTCTTCGCTTGCCTCTCTAGCACGGTATACATATTGTCAAATATGTTATCTAGAAGTTTCTCTTTGACGCTCATACAGACACAATCCAACGTATCGTCTGGCCTACATTTATCGTCTTCGTATAGACAATCCCTTTCAACAGAGCATCTAGGGCAGTCGGTGCAATACTTCCTGACGTCAATAGTATCGGTACACTGATGGCATTTAACACATTTCGTTTTGTATTTTGCGATTTCCTGGTCAGTTAATTTGATTTCCTCTAAAATCGATTGTTGCTTCTGAGCGCATTTATCTTGACATGCGTCATGAGATTTGTTTAGTAAATCAATTTCGAGGTTGAGTGCATCTCTCTAGAATAGATTTATTATGAATGTAAATTGAGAATTCTGTGAGATTTACGATGCTTTTTTGTTTAAAAAATCCTACTCTTGTTCAATCGGTTTTATGTGCAAATATCCATACTATAAAGAATGGAAAGTGTACAGTGATCTTGTGCCGATATTGAACAGCAACCATATTTATACAAATTAATACGTACAGATGTTAAATCAGGGTAGGTTTGTAAAATACACTTTACTTTTTTATCAATATGGAGTTTAAAAGAACGACTGCACAATACTAACTAGTAAATTACACCTATTAGTAAGCGATTACCTGAACCCGTCGACATGAGAAATGTCGACGACGACATGAGTAAAGAATTATTAACAAAAATTTAGCACTAAAAGAAATCTGTATACAAATTTAGACCAAATTTAATTTACCTCTGCCCTCAAATCTTCGTTTTCGATCCTTTTCTGTAGCAAAACCCTGCAGAGCTTCTGCAGGTCTTCTCGTGCGTCTTTCACGAAATTGATACCATCTCTCTCTTTTTTTTCTTTATTCTTTGTTTCGTCCGATATAACAGTTTGTTTTTTCGCTATGTCTGATGCTAAATTAGCCACTTTTAACTGTGAATGAAAAATGATTGGCTCAATTTTTTACTAAACAAAATGGTTCTGAATCATCACAACTATCTTTGAGGTATTTAAACCCCATACTCCCTATTGCAATTTTGCAACTCTGTGCCTTTACTTCCTCTTTGATTACCATCGTGATCTTTGCACCAGGGTGCAGAGTTATAGTCCCAAAACGCGCTATCTCTCAGACAGACTCAGATCTAGATACCAGACTCAGATGTAGTACCTTCCATAACAACCCCCTATTACTTAACTACTATATTATCATTAAAATCAGTATTAAGGATTGTCTGAGTATTTTTAAGTTATATTTATTTTATTTTTAAGTATTTTTAAGGTACTTATATTAGTTTTCTCAATTATAATAAGACTAACCATTGTGTTAGTCTTATTATAATTGTTGTGATTAATACTGATTTTAATGTCTACTACATCCAATCGTCCGCGGGTACTTACGTCAGAAGCTTGTTTCTTCGTTGTCAAAGATTTTGTCGCCGCATCAATTTCCTTTTTGTTCTTATCGATTCTCTTTTGGAAATCGTCAATTTCATTGTTGACGCATTTCAAATCGTTCGTTTTTAGATTTATCTTCTCCTTAATTTCTTTTTCGCATTTTTCAATGTTTTTCAATTGGGATTCTAAATCTTTTTTGTTTTTACGCCATTTCGTTGCACTGGTCTCAACTTCTTTTAACTGGAATGAAATGAAAGATTTCAACATGAAATTTTATCTTATTATTAAGAGGTTTGGGTACAAAATTTATGGCGGTATTGGGTCAGCTTAGGACAGCAACATGTCATCTCTTCCCTCGGCATTTGTTAGTGACTGGGCGCATAGTATGTCCACAAGGGTGGGTACCACCATCCCGCTTATTTGTGCCGTGAAACAATCGTCAGCTCTGATTTAGAGGGTAGGGCACTCATCATACGATACAATTAAGACTCCGACCTTATCTATCAGTGGATGCACGTCTTAACTATGATCCTCCGTAAGCACTTTACGCCAGGTGCATCTCACACCCATAAAATTAAAAAATAAATTAAATTATCAAGTTCTTGACCACCTCTCGATTAATCTAAGCCTCTGAGCTTTACGCCGAATATTTTCATTATTCGCGGCCTATGATGACAATCAATTAAGAAAGCTACGAGTTTTCATCACCTCTTCCAACAAAGTCTTCTGCCTCTCCAGCGAATCCTCTACTTTCTTTTTGTAAGCGTCTTCCATGCACGTCCACATGCAGTCCGCCTGTTTCAGCAATTGGATCCCTGCATTTTCCCTCTTCTCCAGATTCTGTATCTGATCTCGAAGCTCTTTTTGGGCAGCCATAAGAGCTGTTATTTTCGCATCGCATTGCTTGTCGAATGAGGCCGCCTTTAGTAACAAATGTGATAATAATCACAATAGAGTTTAGTGTAAATTTATTTTTCAAATTATTTTAAATTTTCTCTGTAGTCAGACAAGCATATGGGCCGTCAAGCAGTGAACGGTTACCGTCGGTCTTGACCGCCAACAATGCCAACTAAATCAAATGGTGTTTATTTTTTTCATAAAAATACAATCAAACCAGGATACCACCACGCCGTTTACAGTTTCGAGAGATCATAACTATTTCCATAAATACATTAAGGTTGATCAATATCTATATGGCTTGCTCTATTTTTGCCTAACAAATAAAATAATACTATAGCATCACTAAATATGACACAAAATAGATACTATTAATTCTTATTCAGTACAGAATTGTGGCACGAATCTATGGGCTCTGTAAACAGCTCAACATTCGATGTTCCAATGAGCTCATCCGCCCATCAGCTACGCAGAACAAATCCTAATTGACCGACTTCAATCATATCAAATATATCTTCGTCATTGACTATACCTCCTTGAGATTACAAAGGATTTTGGTGAGCGGTATAATGTCCTTGTCGCTCAGCGCCGGAGATTGCGATGTACAGCATCTCGGCGTTGATTTCGGGTCAGGATTATTCTTACAAAAACTAAAACAAAATTGTGAAATAAAGATGGAAATTTCAAAATTTCAAAATGATAGGCCACATAGCGCGAAGCTCGGACAGCCGGTGGAGCAGAAAGATCCTCGAGTGGAGACCACATACTGGCAAGCGCAGTGTGACCAGATAGACCAACGACCTGGTAAAAATCGCTGGGTCACGTTGGATGCAGGCGGCAAGGGACCGACCGCACTGGACATCAGTTGGAGAGGCCTATGTTCAGAAGGGGACAGTGGACAGGCTGGAATGATGATGAAAATGTTACTTATTGCACATTAGAAATACTATAAAGTGAATCTGTTTCATGCCAATATAAATGGGCGAATTTGTTTTATTGTATTTTCTGAGAGCTTCCCCAACCACAGAATAATTAATACTTGTAAAATAAAATAAAAATTAAGGACTCACAGTACTGTAAGTAAAATTAGAATATATGATTCTTTTTTTCATGTAACGATAATAATTCGACCCATGAGAAATTGTAGTTTTTTTTTCTTGATAGTATTTTAATCAATGGCATGTTTTGCAAGTGCTGTGCAAATTTCTAACAATGCTAATATACCGTTATATTATAATTATTTTTTTAATATTGCTTTCCGTCTCTATGCGCCTTTACTAGAGATTGCCCTAATCGCGATCGAATGTGACGATAAATTTAATCGATAACTTAATTATATTCGTATACTAACGTTTTAACTTTGTTCAGAGCGTCCCTTCTCTGATCGTCACCGTCGTCACGTTTACGACCCGCCATATAACAAGCTATGTGTTGCCGATGCGAGCAACTATCGCAGGAGCGAGACGAGGGTCGTGCGCAAAGCCGATTTTGGACTTCGTGCTAATTAAAAAAATAAAAATATAGATGGACGATTACGTAATAACGTGCCTTCAACTCATAGATGAGTTACACACTGAGGGTCTCGCCAGATCTTCTCAGTGGACTGCGTTTCTGATCCGATTATAGATTAGGTTGAGCACTGCTCTTCCTAGGACTAGCCTTAACAAGCCCTCCCGGGTTGAGCCCCGTGAGGGTAATTTAAAAAGCAGAAAGACAATTCAGGCAAAACCAAAGTGAGGGCCCTCGTAAAACGTACCTATTTAACAATTTCATTTTTATCACCGAACTAATGATTGGCGTAGACATGTTCCAGTATATTAGTTCCTTTTTTATAGAGGAATATCATATTTAGGAACTCTGTAGGTATTCGTAATTTCCAAGCACCGCTTTCTGCGGTAGGTAAAGTCAGATTACCTTCTAAATTTCATGAATACAATGTCAAGAATATCCGAATAAACTAAAGAACGTCAAAAAACATCGACATTTTTATGGCTACGGAACGCTATACGATCCCTTCCACTGTAATTAATGTGACCAAGATTTACAAATATGAACTACAAAGTTCACAGATATCTTACTAAGAAACCGAATTATATGGTTAGCTTATTTAAGGCGAATAAATGTTAATGTAAATTTGAATGCAATTTTAAAGCTTAACATATATTGGATCTTGGTGTATTAGACAGACTGAATTATTTTTTTAAAATATTGCACGTGTATTCTAATCACGAGGTAGTTCAATTTACCCAAGTAAAATAAAATAAAAAAACCGTAGGTGTATATATTATTAGCACCGTTACCACTGGTAGAAGAGCTAATTGCGCTAAACCCGTTCGGATAAGTACCAATATCGTTACTTTTGCTATATAAAATTCATGACATCAAAGAAATCGCTGGTGCGCTCATCACGTAGGCTTTACTGGCTTATAGCTGCCATATTAAGTCGATACTTTTTTTTATTTATTTTTTACATCTAACCTTTACCTATCACGGTATAATACGATCACTATATTATACTATGAAGTTCAAATCCTTCATGGACTACATACACTGGAATCACACACATTATCATACACATTAAATACACATATTATCTGGAACCGCTGCGTTGATCGACATCGACATTTCCAAAGGTCTTCTTTGCCACGTACCATCCGGCTATGAAATGAGCTCCCCTCCACGATGTTTCCAGAGCGCTATGACATGTCCTTCTTTAAACGAGGCATTTGGAGAGTATTAAGCGGTAGGCATCGGCTTGGCTCTGCCCCTAGCATTGCTGAAGTCCATGGGCGACGGTAACCACTCACCATCAGGGGGGCCGTATGCTCGTCTGCCTAAAAGGGCAATAAAAAAATACTCTATAGTCAAAACAGAATGCTATGACCACTTCGTCTGCTAGGTGAAACTTCTTAACCCATCAATAACTTAATGGCACAGGTTTAAAAAAACGAAATTATTTCGCCATCTTGGTATTAGTGCTTGAATACATAATGACCTATTTAATGCTAATCTTCAAAAGAAAAAAAAAAACCCAAAAAGTTTTTAATCGATAGAGCAAAGACGATGTGCTTGTGGTGAAACTAATTCGTTACCGTAACTCACAGACTTCCTTATTGCCAAGCTACCATGAAAATCGCAAAAGTCGACCTGATCTGGAAACATCTAGGAAGACGAGATTTCATACCAGAGTTGAATAGTACTTAGCAAAGATTTAAATAAACATTACGTACGTTCCACACTCATCGGTCCTAAGCTAGGATTTGCTCCTGTTTTTAACTAGATACATAGAAACCCTGAGATATGTTTAACTAATCCATCTTTTTCTGGACATCCAGTCTCAAATGAATACGACAGAATAGCTACTAAGCCAACAAGGCGATTGAAAGGATCGCATCATCTTGACACCCCGTACCAAATAATGTACAAATTACAAACATCTAAGCGCTCCGTGTGTTGGATTATCGAAATATCCTTAAAGATGCCTATTTTTTAATACAGTGAAACGATACGAACAGCCAAATTACATGACGGATCTTCCTTCAGAATATTCCAGAAGTCGCGCATCAGTCGCGCGGCGACTTTATCGCCACATTCGTTGCGACACTGGACATTCGAGCCGCAAGGAGTTCCACTTAATTCTCTAATGAGTCTGTCTAGAGCTTTTTTGCGACGATGCAGGCAGTCCGGCATTTGATTCATCTTCTTAAGTGAGCAATGGCTTTAATTTATTAATCTGCAATTCGAAATTGATATTCAAATCCTTCCGCATCCACTGATTCTGAAGTAAACTTTATTAAGTTGACGCGTCCGGGATGTCGGAATACCATCATATACATATTAAAGATAAAAATGGCCAAATTTGACGCGAACTAATAGATTCCACCAGCCTGCTTGTACATGTAGTGCATTTAGTTTTGATAAACCAACCCTTAGATACCACGAAAAATGATGCTTAACATCTCAAAATGTTTTGGATTTTACTACATCAGGGAAAGTAATAAAATTAGAAATACGAAACGCTGGCATCGTACGTACTCTTAAACCGATAGATTTTCATTCTCCGATCTCGCGAATCGTGAATATATTTCCAAAAATTAAGTGTCAGTACTTATTACTTTACTTCCATAGGAGACTTACAATAATATGGAATGTGAACTTTTCGTCATGATCTATGAAAAAACATGATTTGTACAATGAACAATTTTAATGCAAAATTATTTTACAAAAATTTTGACAATTTCATGAGGCCATATGCCATATGACGGATTTTACGTCGTAAATAATAATAATAAAATGACTTTACTGTATTATCTATGGAATGGCTTGTATAGTTATTTAAAATTGAATCGCCATAGTGAGGAAATAAAGCTTTGACTTCTGCCAAAATGCTACAAAAACTTTAAAAGACTGTTACGGACTACACACATACATACCTACGCAGTTTTACTTACCTAACAGTTTATTTTTTTATTACTTAGGTAGATGGACGAACCCACAGCCCACCTGGAATGAAATGGTTACTGGAGCCCATAGACATCTACAACGTAAATGCGCCACCCACCTTGAGGTATAAGTTTTAAGGTCTCAAGTATAGTTACAACGGCTGCCCCACCCTCAAACCGAAACGCATTACTGCTTCACGGCAGAAATAGACAGGGTGGTGGTACCTACCCGCGCGGACTCACAAGAAGTTCTATCCTTTAGGCCCCGACGGTTTTAAGTTCAAGCTCTAGACAGTACTAAGGGAAGCACAAACTTAATTGTGTAACCTTTAATTCAAATTCATAGTCATATGTCATATGTTTCGGCTTCATAGACAGTGTGCTTAGTTCGCACTAAGCACTTACCGCTCACACTGTACCGTGTACTGTAGTTCTCGATATCGTAAAAGTTAACTAAAATTTGTTGGAACGTTTGCCGCTAGGAGCGTGTTCCAACTGCATACAAATTTCAGTTAACTTTTACGCTATACAATTAATAATACAATTCCGAAAATCACCTCAATTTCATGTGCTGTGCCATTGGCTTAGTTTATATGTACTTTATAACCCAGTAACCATTTATCGTGATATCGTTCAGTAATCCAAAAACGGAGTAAAAACAAAAACAAAAAAAAAATTTCACTGAAATATGTACCTACATAATTCGAAACTTGGGCCACATAAAAAGTTAAATCGATAGAGAGCTCTGATTGCGGTAAACGGTTCCAAAAATAAATGTTAAAACTTATAGTGACTGAAATAATTGTTCCACGTTAAAGGCCTCATCGCTCAATACAATAACACCGACTTCAAGCCCAAATAACAGAAATAACCAAGCGATAAAACTCAGTGTGTGCAAACAAATAGGGGTTACTTAGATTACATCCCGTATTTTCTACTCAAAAATAAAATATTATTGCTTATTCAAGAGATAACATAAATAAATACAAAATAATTAGATGCACTATTAAATAGTTATGTACTTAATTTAAATCTGTATTTTCTGCAAGAATATTTTAAAATGAGTGTCCGGTTCGGTAATAAGCCCACGAAAACCTATTTGGTTCATTAAACAACACTACACTGGCCGAAAGAACAAATAATAATATAATACAAAAAAGTATATAATAGGTATATCAGTTGTTGCTGTAAAAAAAATGTTATGTATCTAAACCATGGAAATAAAATTAAAAGCTTAATGAAGTTAGTCAGATATTCTCCTTAAATGTATTTAATAGGTTCCTTTCTAATCTTTAATCTTTTCTTTTTTTGAATTTCTGACTAAATAAATTAATGGTTTTATTGAATTAAATTTATTGAATTTATCATAAAATATGCTGTTGTGAGCTTTTTCGAAGCAAATTTGCAGTCGATCCGTCTGTGCCTGATAATCTTTCAATTTTTTTTTAATGAAGTCGCCATGCATTTTTTAAAAAAACAACGCAATATTTATCATTTTGGAATCCAGAACTGTTCCGAAACCTAGGTACCTACATACTTTGGTAGTTCTTGAAGTTCACTCAATGACAGAGTGACAGACCTAATTATACCAATATAGCACGTTCAATTTCATTTTCATAAAACTTAAAATATTAAGATTAACTAAATTCTTAGTTATTAACTAGTACTAGTTAATCATTAGATAGAATCAGTACTATTCTTAAATGATTTGAAATATTTTATATTCGAACGCACTAACCTCTAAACTCAAAGATACGACAATGTTGTGTTTGAACTTTAGAATTTTGTTGATAAACTTAGGTAGGTATGTAGATAAAACAAATCAGTCTGATCAGTCTCAAAGAAGACAGTAGCCATATTTTATATGTCTTTAAACTTGATAAGATTAAAATAAATCTATGTAAATTATAACTTAGTAATAAATTTAATAAAGCTATGACGGAAATCGATCCAGTAAGTTTTACAAAAGTATTGAATTTAATAATATAATTACTTTAAGTATTTCTTCAATAACCTTCTCTTAACACTGCGGTATTTTGCGTTTATTATCAGCGTCTGGAAAAAGGGTGGGACAACACAAATTGAAAATCACCTCTTTCATTTCGTTACCTTTTTTTTCCCTACCTATGCTGATAAGTTTGAGAGGCTATTTCAGCTTTGCCTTAACGTGTAGGTGAGCTCACGGGGCTCAAACCGGAGTGCTAGTTACCATAATATTGCTTAAAATCTTAAAAAATAATTACAGTAGTAACTATTTCCATTTGGTACCAATTTTTTATTGTATTTCAGGAGCATCCTAGGAAATTAATTCCTGAATTATGCAATCAATTTTACCATTTAGGATGGGTGACTGGCACGGGTGGTGGTATATCAATAAAACAAGGGTGAGTTGAAAGAAATTATATAAATACTTAAATCTTTGGATGGTTTCTTCAGCCATATGCCAACTTATGCTGAGAACTTGCTTCTTCCATGTATTTCCATCTCATATAGTCTTTAAGTTATATGCAGTAAGTTTTTACACACCACTCTAGACTCTTCATCCGTCAGTCTCATTTCTATGTTCACTACGGAAATTTGTTGACACTTAACATAATAAATTAAACTCTCATTTGATTCATACAAACGAGGCAATAGAATTAGGTGTGGTGATAGTATCCAAGATGGTAGTATGTGGACAAAATAAATAAAGGATTATAATAATATGTGCCCAATCCCTTTAATAAGTTAAGTAACATAATCCACTGAGAAGGCTTGAATGAAACTATTAAATACATCTATATTTTTAAAATGTTTATTTTATTTGTTAAATTTTAATAAAGAACATTGACAAAATAGTACTAATCCAAAACTGTGATCTTACAAAGTAATTCCTAAAACCTGATCGTTGTACAAGCTATGTGTATTGTTGTGATAGTATGTGGTCTCCATTTCATAAAAAGAGTTTCTAAGTACAGGTTTTATAAAAACACTAGCTGTACCCATCCGCTTTGCTGGTTATTTAAAATTAACATTATTACTCAACCCCACGAAGGTTTTCGTCATTAACGCCCCCGCAACTGCTGTAGGGAGTCCAACACTCATATAAATATTAGCCTATCGATTAAGTACATGTATTTTCTACATGGATACCAAGCTTCAAGTCAATTGGATGCATGGTTCAGAAGTTATAATATAACGGAACACCCTACAAACCATTATAGATTTATATGTTAGTATAGATGTGTTTCAAGTTTACTATATAAAATACAAAAACATTATTTTATGAATATTAAAAACATGAACACAAGTAAATCAAAATTTAATATGTGAAATCACTAATTTTACAGAGACAAAATTTACATTGCACCTTCAGGAGTTCAGAAGGAACGCATGAAAGCCAATGATCTGTTTGTCCAAACAATTGATGATGAAGATTTAGAATTACCACCACCGGAAAAAAAGTTAGTATTTTTTTTTAGTTTACTGTAACTGAACAAACTTTTTAGTTTATTATCTAAATAATATTGTTCAGGTCTGGAATCTTCTATCGTATAAGCTTTACTCATTTATTTCAATAAAATACTAATTTAAAAAATTTCAGGTTGAAGAAAAGTCAATGCACCCCATTATTTATGTTAGCATATAGAATGCGCAATGCGGGTGCTGTAATACATACTCATTCTCCACACGCAGTCCGATGCACACTGTTGTATGACAAGGTGTTTGAGATCACGCATCAGGAAATGATTAAGGTACTTTTTAAATAATTACGATTAATTAGTTTATCAATTCCTCAAATTAAACACAATAATTCAATCTATGTTAGCATCTAAGCTTCTCCAAATCAGAAAATCAATTGATTTAAAAGTTGTCCAGATTTTTTTTTTATTGCTTCGATAGGTGGACAAGCTCACAGCCCACCTGGTGTTAAGTGGTTAGTGGAGCCCATAGACATCTACAACGTAAATGCGCCACCCACCTTGAGATATAAGTTCTAAGATCTCAGTATAGTCACAATGGCTGCCCTACCCATCAGACCAAAACGCATTACTGCTCCGTGGCAGAAATAGGCAGGGCGCTAGATCTAGATCCCATCAAATCTAGATCTAGGCACTAGATTCCATAATAAACAATATGAATTTCTATAAAAGCTACTGTGATATGATAGGTTTCCAGTGTCAAGATTTTCCTTATTGATTTGTTACATTCAATCACTTTGGTGTCATAGAATTTAGTACATGTGAATTCTATACTTGTACCAAAACCTTCTACTTGTATATGAGTCGACTATTATCAAAGGCGGCAATCTGACTTTTGGACAATGATTGGTAAATCAGAAAAACGAATTATTGACTTTGTATTCCATTGGCAGTCACAAAACTCTTCGGAACGACATCTTAGATAAATAACAGGTTAACTATTAACCTTTATTTAATGCAGGTTTTGAACCGTATTCTTTGAAGGAGACGATTATATTCNTAAATCAGAAAAACGAATTATTGACTTTGTATTCCATTGGCAGTCACAAAACTCTTCGGAACGACATCTTAGATAAATAACAGGTTAACTATTAACCTTTATTTAATGCAGGTTTTGAACCGTATTCTTTGAAGGAGACGATTATATTCAAATAAATCTGTATTGACATATCAATAATTTTTTTTTGTCCAAATGCACAAATTGCCACCTTTGATAATAGACGACTCATATATCAACCAAATTCTAACTTGTCTCAATGATTGTTCTGTGAACAGACAGGCTCACAGCCTGCCCTACATTAAACGGTTTCAAGAGTACATTGAAATCTAAATAAATACTGCGACCTTTCTTGAAACAGAAGTATAAGTATAATGTTTAACTCTCTCACCTTTCAGGCGAGCGCTCATTACGCTTAGAAATAGAAAAGCTGTTGGTACTCAATCTATTCATCATAACACACCAATCATAGAAAAACATTATCTATGTTTTTTAGGGCATCAAAGACACATCCCTAGGCCGCTATCTCCGTTATGATGAGAAATTAATAGTCCCAATAATAGAAAACACGCCTTTTGAAAAAGATCTAGCCGGTAGTCTGGAAGAAGCTTTAAAGGAATACCCTGGGACTAGTGCAGTGCTCGTCAGAAGACACGGAGTGTACGTATGGGGTGATACGTGGCAACAAGCTAAAACAATGTGAGTTACAAGAAATTGTTTAATAGTAGTTTTAGAAACACATAAAAAACCTGCCTGAAGCATTTAATAAAGTACTCCTTTTTTAGCCTTTTTAAGGCCTTTTTTAGCCTAGCCCAATAGGTAGGTATGTCTGGTAGGGTCTTGCTATTATAGCCACTTTTTCATTAATCGTTGACACGAGAAGCAAAGGTGATATTTTTTTAATAAAATTTAAGTGCTCTGATGAATGTGGAAGGATTTAGAGGAAGGTGTAGACCTAATAAGAAGTGGATGTATTGCTTAAAAGACGATGTGTGTAAGAGGGAAGTGAGCGAAGAAATGGTGTATGATAGAGGAGTTTGGAAGGAGAAAACATATTGCGCTGACCCTAGGTGACTGGGAGAAAGGCAGGGGAATGATGATAATGGAGTGCTCTGAGAAATTGCTTAAAATGATACCATCGCACCGCCCGCCATCGGAGTAGAGTTCATTCATACTACCTGAAGCCACTCCGTTCATCCACGGTGCTTTTCCAGAGGAGAGATGGAATGAGCTCCCCTCCACGGTTTCCCGAGCGCTATGACATGTCCTTCTCCAAACGAGAATTGTGGAGAGTATTAGACGATAGGGAAGCGGCTTGGCTCTAACCCTGCCATTGCTGACGTCAATGAGCGATGGTAACCACTTACCATCAGGTGGGTCGTACGCTAGTCTGCCTACACGAGTAATAATAAAAATAGACATAAATGTGTTGTTCATCTTTGGCTGTGTCAATACAAAAATCCTTCATTGAAATATTATCCTGAATAGGTATCTATATATCATGATTATTCACAGAAGAATTGAAATTAATTTAATATCGACAGGACGGAATGCTATGACTACTTATTCGAGATGGCAGTGGAAATGAAAAAACTAGGACTCGATCCAACTTTTAATCCGGAAACGGCACAAAACGGCCAAAAAACATCCTAGCTGCTACAGAAATTCATAAATTCACTTGTGAATCTTGTGATAAATAAATTACAAATTAAATATTACAGTTAATTATTTTAATTTAAAATCAAAATTTGATTTACTAATAATTTGTAAGATAAAGGACTCAAAATGATCAAAACATAATTATGGTCATGTTACAACAGAATGATTAAAGTAAAACATTTCGACAATCTACTTTGTCGTCATTTTTTTTATTTTTTTAATCATTATTCAACATTAGTGTTATAATCTAATCAACAATATATTATAATAATATATAACCCGTTGTTCGATTATCAACTTTATTGCAAGTTCCAATAAAATATATTTTCATCAATTACGTTTTATTTAAACACATTAGTCCTTCCGTCTTCTCTCAGTAATTCGGCCACTATACTTTTCGAAGGCACACACGGTTCTTTGACTTCTCTCTCGCCGAAAGTCTCTTCTCCGCTTTTAACCTTTCTCCTACTGATCCCATGAGCACTCGAAGTACATTCCTTTAGAATTAAATCCTTAATGTCTTGAAGCTCTTCTTTGGTTAGGATTTTTGAAAAATTTTCACCGGTCAAATCTTTCTTTGCCATTTCATACAAAATCAAAAGGTCTTGATTATTTTTAACTGTTTTGTCGCTATTCTGCTTTCTCTTTAGTATCTTTCTTAAGTCGTCCAAGTAAGGTTTGTTTTCGGATATTTCATCGTCTATGATCTCGACTTCTTTTCCGTTCATTTTGTGCAAGTCATCATCTTTCACTCCAAAGTTACGTTTTAAATCAGAGGTGAATTTATTGAGCAATGGTAATTCTGAAAAATTTAAATAACCTACATGTGTGTGTATAATTTAATGAACAAGCAAAATAATTACGAAACCTACCGTTCTAAGATGGAAGGTTTATAGTTTTACATACATGGGTAATCGATTTCGTGGTAAGAAGTTACCGAATCTTATATACATAGTAATTCGGCCTTTAGACATTGGGTCAATGTTTCAATTCTTTTGTATCGATCTTTCTAGAACTAGAACCTATGACTACCTACTTCGCGGTAGAATTAGGCAGGATGGCGGTAGCTGCCATTGGGAGTAACAATAAGCCCTAACACAACAAGTGTGAAGATAAAAAAAAGAATCCCTGGATTTTTGTGTAATTCCCCGTAAACTCCATCTATTTTACTTAGATAATGAAGATTATTAAAACAACTAATAAGCTAAAAAGTCGAACAACCAAAGACCGTTAAAAATATCTAGTTACGACTTACTTAAAATACTTTACTTACTTAAAATACATAAGAACATAATATATTTAATTTTATTTAATATATTATGTTCTTATGTATATATTTGTTTTTTTTTTATTTGATATATTTAATATATATTTTTTTAATATACGAATGTTACATAATAACTTATATCACTAGGCAGGCAATGATTGAAGAATCAGACGAAAATGTTACATGATTAAATTTAAAATCATAGAATTTTAAAGAATTCATACATTCATTCATTCAGCTATAAAAGAAATATTTGTGATTATTTATTATGTATCGAGGGATGAAAAACTTTTTTGGTTTAAGCGACATCTCGATTAATACGCGACATTTATGTTTGTAATGAAAGGTCCTTTAATTCGATTCGATGATTTTAATTGAACCTCAATTATATTTACCACATTCAAAATGAAATAACTGAAAAAATATTTTTGTCACGACATTTTTCCAAATTTTAAGCTTTAAATGGATCTCCTGTAAAGCAGTACAAATATCGCTTAAACTAAATTACCTTTCACCCGTCGACATGTGTGTATGTATGTATATACCTAGTCAGGTCATAAATTCTGTCACATGTTTAATGTAAAATAATTGAAACAAGTTTATTCATTATGTAACCATTCATATACCAAAATGAACTTAACAAAACATAGAATCTTATGACACTAAAGTTTGTTCAAAATGACCTCCGTGATTTTGAATACAGGCCTTCAATCTGCGCGACCAGTTGTCTATCGCAGCACGAACGAGGTCCATGTGAATATCGGCGGCTGCCTTAATCAAGGATGTCTTGAGTGACTCCAAATTGGGATGAGGCTTTGAGCACGCCTTTTCCTCCAAGTGTTGCCATATCTTGTAATCTAACGGATTCAAATCTGGACTGGAGGAGGGCCAGTCTTCGTGCCGGATGAAGTCGATTTCACGCGCCGCCAGCCAGTCTTGTGTGCTCTTCGCTCTATGAGCTGGCGCCGAATCTTGTTGGAATACCCAGTGCCTGTTATTGAACATGGTATGAGAAACAGGTTCCACAAGGTTCGTCAGGACTGTATTTTGATACACAACTGCATTCGTTTTTACACCTTTCTCACAAAAATGTACCTCTGTTAAGCCCCAATAAGAAACTCCCAACCATACCATGAGCGAGGATGGAAAATGACCTCGTTGGACACGCGGAATACGGTTGCTCGCTTCTTCACTACTGTGTGCGTACACCTTATCATTTTGTTTGTTGTAGCTCTCTTCTACGGTAAAAATTTTTTCATCCGAAAAAAGAATTTCCCGATATTTTTTTCCCGCGTACCGCTTCAACAAAGCGCGGCATCTCTTCAGTCTCAGGTCCATTAGACGAGCATTCAAACGATGTCCTGTTTTTCTTCGATATGCCCGAAGCCCTAAGTCTTCATTTAACACCCTTTTCACCGTGGTTCTGCTTAACCCCATCTGAAGGGCCAACAGTTTCTGCTTACGTTTGGGATTTCTTTGAATTCGCGCCTTCACAGCTTTTATCACTGCTGGAGTCCTAACAGACCGAGGGCGACCACTTCTTGACCTGTCATCTACACTAGAGTCTTCATTGTATCGTTTGATGGTACGATAAACGAATCTTTTGGTTATATTCAAATTTTTCAGTATGTTAAAAATTTGAATTGGCGCGTAACCGCAACGATGCAACGCAATAACTGCAACACGGTCTTCTTTAAGCGTCCACTCCATATTTAAAAATGAGTAAAATTCTAAAAGTATACATTTTTATTTTCATGAACAATTCGAAATTCGAATTCAATAAACTTTTTTGTGGCCAGCATTCTAAAAGAAAAGTTTTTACTGTGTGACAATACTTATGACCTGACTAGATATATATAAAGAAATACTATTACCGTTTCCAGACTGGTCTTTGTAGGAAGGTTTTATTGAAAAGAAAACTCTCATCTTTCGCAGAGCGACCGACTCCCCGGTCCCAGACTGACCGAACACGTCGTACTCGACACATACGACCCTCTCGTCCAATTTACGCAGTTCGATGTTATCCTTTTTATATTTTGTAAATTTTTCGATTATGACTTTCACTCGAGGCGCTTCTGATATTTCTATGTTCTGCGATTTTTCATAATCGATTTTCGTGAGGCGATCTTTTGAAAAGACAAGTCATCGATTATATTTTTATTAAACAACTTTATTAGATATTATGCATACTCTATCCGGTGGACCGAACGGTAAACAGTCGACGTCGCCCTAAACACGTCATTACGGATCCTCCCGATCCATCAACGGTGCCTTTATGTAGGTACCTCAAGTACCGGTCACCGTCCTCGCCGAACACGTCGCTTCCGACGAAGGGTTCGACGAGTAAATTAACTTATAGATACAGCCCACTGAGTTTCTCGCCGGATCTTCTCAATGAGTCGCGTTTCCGATCCGGTGGTAGATTCTGCGAAGCACTGCCCTTGCCAGGGCCAGTGTTAGCAACACACCCGGTTTGAGCTCCGTGAGCTCACCTACTAGCTCGGTGAATCTAGAATAACCTCTCGAGGTTACTAGAATAGTTAGGGAAAAAAAGATGTTATATCGGGGTCCAATGTAGTGGTCGGACCAGATACGCTTTACCCTCCACGTCCCCCTTCACGATTCCATCCACGCAGCCGAGGATAGACATAGCTGGCGCAAGATAGTCCAAGGGAAAGTTATTCAGAGAGGTAACGTTCCTTAGTATTGAGGATTATCGACGTAAGGTGAATGTCCCGCTCACCGGTATCTGGTATACCAACAAAGGTCTTCCACTGAAGAGGCGAAATTGCCCGGTATGAGCCGGTACCTACCATTATTGTTTGTAATTTAAATACCGCCTTATTTAAATTTGGTTATGTTATAGACATTTTTTTAAATGCTGTCGATCAAAATATGGATGATGTTAAGATATTTATATCGGAACATAAATAAAACCGCAATATGAAGACTGCGGCTTGGCTCTGCCCCTGGCATTGCTGACGTCCATGAGCGACGGTAACCACTCACCATCAGGTGGGCCATATGCTAGTCTGTCAACAAGGGCAATAAAAAATATATTTGCAAGCGACTAGAAGTATAAAGTTGAAGCAACGATCATTTGAATAACAGTTAAATCGACATTTATATTTAATTTACACAAATGCGCGATACGACAAACATATAAATATTATTATATTATTTTGATTACCTTCTACACTAGCATTATCTATGTACTTGTCGAGTTCGTCGATGTTCTCAACGCTCTGCCACTGCGATCCATCGGACGTGGTCAAATACTCGTTAACAGGAGGATTACATTGCGAGCCTTGCTCGACTTTATTTGAACTGACGCAAATCACATTTTTCAATTCCTTCAACTTCCCTATTGTGTTAGGTATAATCGGCCCTCGGTCGGCGGTGTATCGCGTTCCGACCCGGCAGGCTGGTTCTGGCCCAGCGGGGTATCCCGGAACACCAGCGGCACCGCCCGGGCGGCCTGGTAGGGCCGCCGTACCGCGGAGACTGACGTCGTTGGTCGTCGACTATCGCCTCGACGACCCGTCGGTCGGGCGTCCTCGGGGTGGCGCCGCGTGTCTGGTTGTAGTGTTGACCGCGGGAACCCCCCTACTCTGAACGGGTTCTGACCCCGGACGGAGATCGGACGTCGGGTGTAAGAGTGCAGGGGAGTCGTTTAGTGGGTGGGCCCTAAAATCCTTGGGCCCGCGATCTGCTCTCAACACCTGCAGATCGTTGAGTCTCACATACCCCGCGCGCCCCCTAGGCGCGGGGACCTCGTAGGAGGTTCGGCCCCCGGNAAAAAAAAAAAAAAAAAAAGGTATAATCGGCCCTATGTTATCGACTTGATAGAAGTCATTCTGTGGATATTACTTTTTTAATATTAGTATTTCACGAGACATGTTGTTTGGTTGATCCAAAATTGTCATCATGTTCATTTCATGTTTCAAAATTTATTTTAAATGTATTCTACTTGCATGGAAATTTAACACTTGCTCCAATTTTAATAAGAAGCAGAATGGGTCCACGAAAAATCCAAACGTAGCTTTTGTCCGGATAAAAACTCATATTTTGGAATTAACGCTACGGTCGTTCATTGTGGCGGACTATAAAACAACCTACATCCACCAGTGGAGATACAGGCTGACAATGTTGATGACGCCAGGGATGGGAGTGAAGGGCAACGCGTAACACTATTTCTCGAATTGCTCCGAGTACTTCCAACCAAGAACGTCGTCAGGTTTGAGCCCCGTGAAATAGCCTCTCAAAGCTCTCAAACAAAAAAAAGCAAGCAAGGTCTAGCCTAGCTTAGGTAGAAAAAAAACCGACCAAGAAATCGGCTTATAAATTTCCACCTTCTCAAGCTAGGCACAGCGGAACTAACTTGTGTTGTTATTGATGATTACAATAAACAAACTCATAGATAAATTAATTTCGAAAGAAATTTTAAAGCAACAACAGTAGGTAGAGGCTTGGTGACTATTTACCGAGTGGACCTTGAAGAGGAATTGTTGATTTTGCGTAATCTATTGTGATCTTTACCCACCAGTTTATAATCAGGGCAATTCGTGAACTGTCCAAAATCCCTTTGCTCCGGCGCCACGAAGCAGCTTCTGTTGGTCATGGGTTTGGCGAAGTCCTTGCTCTTCGGAGCCAACACTACCTCGAGCTTGGTGCCCAACTCCTTGTAAACTTTGACTCGAGAGTCGCTCTCGTTTTTGGGCACTTTGCCGTAGCGCCGCTGGTGTCTGTTCATTTTTAATTTATTGTAATTTTTATTATTTCATTTTTGTGATCCCGTTTGGCCTGGGTTTTTTTTGAAGTTTCATGTCATCTGTCTTAACTGACAAAGAGCTCGAAACAAATAGGTGTGAAAAATGAGTTCTGCTTTTGAAGAATCTAAAGGAAAATAGTGATGGACCTAAAAGAAAACATATACAAGAATGACCTTTTTTTTTCTTGGGATAAAAATAGATAAATGAAAATAGAATCGACTATAAAAAAGAATAATAAAAGTGGAATCTTATAAACATGTGCTACCGCAACTGATTACGCAAATATAATTTTTCTTTGTATTTCATTTTATTATTCAGAATTTTTCTTTTACGGAGGAAGTCATTCGTGAAGATTTGTTACATAAGTATTTCATTAGTAGAACAATTAGTTTTTTTAATGGACTGCGGGGCGAGCAAGCTATTTAGTACGCGACTGCTGCGCCGGTGTTCGAATCCCGGAGGCAGATCATCAAATTTTCTAATGACTACGTATTTAACAATAAATGTTTACAAATGACTTCTACACGGTAAAGGAATAACATCGTATAATATAAGTGAAATCCACAAAAAATAACTGGTGATAGGGCGCGTTGAGCCGGCACTGGTAAATGCCACAGTGGGTGGACAGGCGTAGATTCAGATAAAATCCCCCATGATCTACGCGTAGCCTCAAGAGGGTCAGGTCCCAAAAAAAAACCGGTTCCATCGCTCGAGGCCCCGAACACGGCGACAACATACATCAACCCAGACAAACACGCACACCCCGGCTTTACCCAGGAAATTGTGATCCAAATTGATCAAATACGTAGCCAGGGTATTCAAGGTACGATCTATCGTTCGGAGCAGATATCTGGGTCTCCGTTAGAAGATTATGGCAGGCTGCACCGTCTCAAGGTGGTGGTATACGGCGTCAAGGTTACTATATTATTATAAGCCCCTAACATTTCTGAAATTCACATTAAATGTGGAATGGGGAGTCGCCGATGAAACATTATTTCTCTTCCGTGCCTTCATAATAGTCGTTTTATTTTGTTTTGGGAGAGTGAGATTGGGTGAAGTAGGACGTCCGAGATCAAATCAAGGCAATACCTGAATAAGGCGCGGAACAAAGTGTACGCTCGACCACGGGTTGCATGAGGGACTGACACAGGGCATAGAAGGGCCCCCACTCCACTCTGCGTACGATCGCCAGGATCCACTCCGGTCTCCGACTCCGACACGACGACCGCACGACAGGATTTAAGCCGGTTGTCGTGACAGCTTCCCGGGGCGGAGCTTAGTAGTGACACCCGGGTTCAGGTCCCCCACTGATCGGTGTGCGGCAGCGAATACCGTTTCACTCGCTCTCCCTATACCCCGTCAATCAATCACGTCCCGCAAGATCGCTTGCACCTCTGCTCCGCATATTCCATGCATCACTAAGATTCACCCTAACAAGGAAGAGGAAAGGCAAGGAATAGAATTGGCTTTCCAACCCACACGCCGGAACACAGCTAAGCTATTTGGCGGCGGACTCTAGTTGGAGGCTGGTCGCCAGACAGTCGGACTAGGTCATACCACCGTTTATTTTTTCGACTCCTCTAGGGAAGTCACCACTAGGGAAGCGGGAAGCACCAACCCCCTTAAATATCTAATGCGTCTGAGACCTTAATGGACTTTTTAGAAAAGCCTGAGAAGTCACGTCCACGGATTTTGTTTTAATGTCCTACAGTTTTGTATTTTCGCAGTTTGAACCTGTGTGTTTAGTGCAAGTTCTTTAACGTTCTCGATAGCGTAAAAGTTTACCCAATTTTGTATGTAGTTGGAACAGCGCCCCTAGTGGCAAACACAGGCAAACGATCCCATTCCATACAAATATGAGCTAACTTTTACGCTATCGAGAACGTTAGAAAACTCGCACTAAGCACACTGAAAAGACTAGAAATTAAAAAAATAAGTTTCTCCCTGCCAAAAATTCGCGAGAACATCTGTCAAGCAACTATAATAAAATATCCTCCTATGGTTAGCAGATAGGGTTAAGCAATATTCGGCTCAATGTTGTCCACTAAAATTTATTATGTAGTCAGTGAACTGAGCATGCTAATCAATGGACACGAGTTCTTAGCATTGTACAAAACAATACAGCTATAATTTTTTAAATGAATATTAAATATTGTGTTGCAAATGGTGTGACAATAAAAACCAGCAGCGTAACGACAAGTTCTTTTATTTGTGCGAGAATGCAGAAAGCAGGTAGAAATAGCTGGCATGGCTTGTTTTATTTACACTATCCACCCTTCGTTGGCTTTGGCTGGCGGCGGCGGCGGTGGCGGTGGCGGAAGGGGGCGTGTTAACATGGCTTGGCGGCTTGGCTGGCGGCAGGGCATAACAGCTGACGTCACGTCCGTTACATTCGGCCATCCTGCAACAATTGCTCCCGCAATGGGGAACACACAAAAACATTTAGTTTTCAAATAAATCAATAAGGTCTTCAGTTTCGAGCTGCTCATCGGAACGACTAGCGCTATCGGACACATGGGCTATACTTTTATAGGGCCTTAATGAATCTGTTGATACCAGGCCAGTGAAGTTTTTGTAACTTCGTAAACCTTTTAGATATACTTCTAATTTGATACCGATTGTTACCTACTACTTTAGTTACTACATACGGACCTGAGTACAAATCGTCTAATTTGGTATTAATCCTAGCGGCGCTACTAACTAGTTGGAGCCTGTCTCTATGATACAAAATCCCTTTTCTTATAAACATGAGCATTTTTTTATATTAACGTTGTGTAGCTATCTCACGCCGTGCGTCAACAGTTTCTGGTTCGCGACCAGGAATCGAAACATCACATATTGATCTACCAGAGCGCGCAAAGATTAAATCACAAGGCTTGTAGCCGCTGCTACTTTTAATTGTGTTGTTTGTGCCTCAAATGACGGAGTTCACTAAATCATTTAAAGCTTCACTAGGATCAGTTGCCCGCAACACATCTGAAATTGAATATTTAGTTTGTTCAACCTGGCCAATTAGCGCGTGGACAAGCAATACCGTTTAACGTATGCCTAAACTGTTTATCTTCTGATATTTTTTTAAAGTACCTATTCGTAAAAGCTTTCCCATAGTCTGTCACCACGTGATTCGGGTATCTGGACAAACCCTATTAATATATTTTTCAATGCACGAATGGTCCCGATTGAATTTACAGTACGCCTTAGTTCAGCTATCACAAATTTAGACAACGCATCTTTCATTACGATCATGTACTGGTTGGTGCCCTTTAGATGTCCTACAAAAGGGCATCATGTTATCTATTCGTACCATGCGCATAGTATCAGATGGTTTAGAGATTGGATGTAGACAGTCTTCTTTTTTTTTAACATAGTTATCCTTCTCATGTGTACAATAAAGACATGCTGCCACGTATTTCCTAATAAAGCGTGTCATTTTAAGAAACCAATATTGGCTTTTAATCAAAGCTAAACGATGATTTAGATCCACGTGACAAATGTCGTCATAGTGCATTCGTACAATTTTCCATTTAGCCAAAGGGACTGCGAGTCTGTTTTCGTTAAAAGTTTTTCGAACTAGTTCATAATTATCTTTAACATCAGCGCGACTTCGTCCGCGTGGAATTTAGTTCACAAATAATGCTTTATTTTAGAACAAATTTGGTTAGCATAAAAAAACGTTATAGTGAGCCAACCTTAACATATAGACATATGCTATCGCGGACATTTTTTTTTAGATCTTTTAAAGGAGAACAATTCTGTCACATTATTTTAGCGAAACCTTAACAGTTTCTGCAGCGCACGCACCGGAAACTCTCAAAAGGGAAAATAACCAGTGTTTCTTTACTGGTACTTCGCTTGTATTGGTCTTAGCGTGACACAGTGATGGTCTAAGCGGTCTTAGCGTTATATAGCCTATAACCTTTCTCAATAAATGGGTTATTTAACACTGAAAGAATTTTTCAAATCGGACCAGCAGTTCTTGAGATTAGCGCGTTCAAACAAACAAACTCTTCAGCTTTNTTCGGTGGATACTTTTATATTTTACCATAGCGTTTAACGCACGATAATCAACGCATAGCCTACTGTCGCCGTTCTGTTTCTTAATAAGACCACTGGTGAAGCATGACTAGCTTCAGATTATTTTATAATGCCGGCATCTAAAAGTTAATTAGCTTTAGATTTAACTATCGTTTGTTCATTATGAGAAAGTAAAGGTGGCAATACACGGGCTGATCACTAGTAAGCTTAATTTGCATTTGGACTAAATTGGCAATACCTAAATCATGTGTATTCGTAGCAAAGTAATGCTTATACTGTATTTTTTAAATCAGAATGACCTTATTATTTAATAGCTCCTTTTAATATTTTTTTTCTACCCTCAAATATCGAAATATTTGTAATGGCATGGCTAGGGCAAGTAGAAATGCAACACACCTGGCTGTTTGGCTGTGGCTCCTCGCAGCTGTTGGCCCTCGGCAGGACCTCGCCCGGCGGCCACATGATGATCTCCGAGCCCATGTTGATGACTTTGATATAGCCGTCTTCGCCGCGCAGCAGCGTCGCAGGCAGGGAGAAGGAAGCTCGTAGCCGTGGAGTTCGTGAAGCGCCGTGAAACTCTTAGTGCTGCAGTGGAGCGCAACCACGTTGCTGCTCTTCTAGTTTCCCTCCACGTGAACCAGAATGATGGAAGGACAGGGCGGCAAGCGCTCTTGGTCCGACGACGTCGAAGTCCCTTTGATTTGATTGTTCCAGGTTCTTCATCCTGTAGCTCAAGTATCGCCTTGTGGACCTCCTTCTGAAGCAATTTTTCAACACCTTCCTCGCCAGTGGAATAGGAGCTTCATCTTCTTCAAACTTGTCAGAAGACCGAGAGATCTGAGCGTGTATATGACGTTGTTTCATTTCTTTATGCNGCAATTTTTCAACACCTTCCTCGCCAGTGGAATAGGAGCTTCATCTTCTTCAAACTTGTCAGAAGACCGAGAGATCTGAGCGTGTATATGACGTTGTTTCATTTCTTTATGCCACTTCTGATTGTTGCAAATGATGTGACAATAAAAACCAGCAGCGTAACGACAAGTTCTTTTATTTGTGCGAGAATGCAGAAAGCAGATAGAAATAGCTGGCATGGCTTGTTTTATTTACACTATCCACCCTTCGTTGGCTTTGGCTGGCGGCGGCGGCGGTGGCGGTGGCGGAAGGGGGCGTGTTAACATGGCTTGGCGGCTTGGCTGGCGGCAGGGCATAACAGCTGACGTCACGTCCGTTACAATTGTAAAATAAAATGTAAAACAATGCTTCATTAATCCAGTTTTTATTCGATGCTGAACATTTCACATTATTTTTGACAAAATTCATAAAGAAATTGTGTTTGAGAATTTTTTACTATTTCTTACAATGATTTATTCATCGAAATATCTTTGTGTTCTTTATTAACTTTTTCATAGTGCTCCAAAACTTTCATTAATTTCATTGAAAAATCCTTTGCTTTTTGCAGCGTCCTTTTAACCCTTTCGTAATCTTTATCTTCGTTTATGCCATCGCTATTTCTCGTAATGGTTGTAGGTGAATGTTTTATTCCGTCATTTAATTTTAAGCTTGTTGCTGAAAATTCCTTACAAGAATTCCTTCCTTTAAAAGCTATTTTAGTATTAACTTCCAGTTTATCAGTACGCGCTTTAGGACGGTCTATTTCAACATCGATTTTAAAAAATGAATCATTAATTTCGCAATTATTGATTGACTGATCTGCTATATTTTTGTTCGAATTAAATTTAAAGTTACCGCCCGTTCGCGAATTCACTTTGATAAGTTTTGGGCCTTCATTAATGGTTTTAGATTGTCCTTTACAAGAGTTTCCAATTTTGACCTGTTTATCTTTTTTATTTTCATCTTGAAAATTTATCGTATTTAGGGAAAAATGTAAAACATCAGCTAATATATCTCTTATGTATTTTCTGACAGAATTGCAATAATTAGAATTAGAGTTATTTGGGATATTTTCGGCCGAAATCCTTCGTTCATTATCAAAAACCGGAAATGACGAGGCGTCATAATAAATACTATTTTTTATAGTCAAGATATCATGATCTGGTTCCGTATTTGATACCTTTCTGTTCCTGTTACAATTGTTGGCAGAATATTTACTTTCTGTGAAAAAATCAGCTTTTTGATGGAAGTTACCGTTATTTTCAAATACATTTTTGTAATTGTGATTTTCCGTTAAGTCAATCAATTTTTTTTGCGAATAATCAGAGAAGACAGTGCTGTCGAAGTCATCAGTAAAGGCCACAGAAATACCGCGAGCTCCTTTATTAGTCATTAAATTATTTTGACTATAATTATTATATTTGGATCTTCTGTCAAACTTCAATGGAGTCCAATGGTCCTTATGAAGAGGAGATATTACGCTTTCAGAAGCATTGAAATTGTCTATACTATATTGCCGATGCCCAAACATATTATGAAATTGTGATTTAGTCTTCCTGCCAGAGTCGTAGGTTTCGTTATTAGCTCGTTCACAATTCAAGCATTCGCATATTCCACACGTACATGAATTCCGAAATTCTACGTGACTGCTGTTACTTAAATCTTCCATAATGCCAAACCGCTCGAAGGAAATTCGCTTCTCCGGACAATGGAATAGCTTTGAGGCTTTGATTCCGTTCGCGATGTTCTCTTTGCATGCACATGTAATGCATTCGCAGTCATCACAAACACAACGATGCTTTGAAATTTCTGTTTTGGGCTTGGGAAACTCGTAAAAATTATTACTCCTAAAATTCCTCTCAAACAAAGGTGACCTGTGGTCGCTGATCATTATATTACGAATATCAAATTCGTGAATGTCTTCTTTAAATGGTTTTGTTATAATATTGCGGGGTGGTGGACATTCGCATTCCTGATCTTCGTCTGTTCGATAGGAATCCATTAGGCAGGTTTCGCAGTCACAAAAGCGACTGCTCTCCGTGTTTGTAGACGCATCATGCGTACTAATAGATAATCGAACAAACTTGCAACTAATACAATCGCACGGACTACATTTACATCCGCTACAGTCTTCATTGGCGGGCCCTTTTGAGTTAAACATCTCGCAAACTTGGCATTGACACGGTCTGCATGCGCATTCTTTAGGTACACTATCGGCGCATTCGATACTATCACAGTCACAGATGTTTCGTTCACGGGATCTATTAGCGATTCCTTTACACTGACTTCTGTCACACCTTATACAAGGACATCCACTCGGTTTGTCACTAACGAGCTTGGCACAGTCTCTGCAGTCGCATGGCTTACATTTGCATGTGCTTGGTGCAAAACTGCTTGTAACACATTCGCATATCTTACAGGTGCACGCCGCGTAAGCCTCCTTTAACGTCCTCAAAATATCGTATTTCGATAGTTTAGCGATTGAAGACATTTCAGATGGTTTATTTATTTCTTTTTCGACGTCTGCAACGGGAACGTCCATAACTTCCGCGGTCAATTTGGCTGTATTAGGATTGTTTTTAGGCTTGTTTCCCCTTCTAGAATAAGTGAACGAAAGGCTACGTTGATGTTTCGAAGCCAGTTTATCAACATCGTTAAGATCTTTGGTAATTTTGTTTATAAGAATTCTTCGTTCTGTATGTTGATCGTCGGTGTTCATTTCCTTATCGTATTTTAATTTAATTTCTTTTTTAAGCACTTTAGATCCAGCATTACGAATTCGATTGTTTTCTTTTTCAATTTTTGTTACAGGCTTTTTGTTTTCAATGTCATTATTTTTCTTATAGAAAAAGCATGTAGTGGGATTGTCACAATCGTAGCACGGGCATGTATTTTTGATGTTCCTTTTGGCGAAACACCCGATAGAGTCGCATTCGGAACACGAGCATCGGAGTCCGAGAGCAGGATTCGAATGAATTTTTGTGGAGCAAATTAGATTCATTTTGTTGTTTTCCTTCACGCAAAGAAGAATTAGTTGGCTAGCTTCAAAACAACTTAGTCTTCATTAGATCAATGTGGTACAGATGGACAGTTTGAACAACTCAAACAGGACGTCTTCAGAATCTGAGAAAGAAAGATTGTATTTAAAAAAAAATGAGTTAAACGAATCCGCTTCGAAGCATGGCCGATGTAACTAAAATTTGAAACGATTATGATATTTTTTTTGTACTTTTATTTGGAAACTGTATATTTTCGCTTCGTTGGCTTAGTGGTTAGCGATAAAGATACTACAGTACCCTGGTGTTCGGGTTTCATTACTGGCCTGAGTCAGCATTTTCGTTAGAGATTACTAAATTATTCGGATTCTGAGTGTATATCTACTAATTGCGTATATATATTTTTTCGACACTCTTAATCTTAGGAAAAATCTGAGTATTTGAGTGTTTCCGTTAAACATTTAGATTAACTTTTAAAAGAAGTTATCTTAAGTAAGTAAGTAAGTAATAAAACACTGATAAATCTTTAACAATTACTCTTCTAAATACGTCTTTATGATTAATTTTATACCGGTGTTACATATTTTTTTTCAAATTTCTACTTTAAGGAATCTTTTGAATGAAAGTCATCATAGAAAATACACTGTTTGGGCTGGGGTTTTCATTACTCTGTCAAAATTTCTTAATGATTGACAGCTGTCAAATGTCTCTAATTTCACAAAAGTTCCTACACCGGACTCTTCTGCGTTTCGCATAACTAACTGAAACTGCTTTCAAGACAATGTTCATTTTAAGAAAATAAAGTTATAAGCTTTGTTGGTGTAATGGTTAAGGCCTAAGTAAAGGAATCGGTCTAGTCATGATATCTTTCAAGAATGAATCACAAATGGTATACTTGTACACGTTTCTTACGTATTATTTATTTCCGCTAAACATAAATATAGCAAAAGAGAAAAACCGTTCAAAATAGTACGTCTGATAACGTTGCTTCATATAAAATGGATCTTTAGATTATTGAAGCAACGAAGAAAACATACTTTAGATTATGTACTACTATCATCATCATCATTATCAGCCTGCGGCAGTCCATTGCTGGGCATAGGCCTCCCCAAGGCTCGCCACTGAACCCAATCTTCGGTTCTACTCATCCAGTTATTGCCAGCTGCCTTGCACAGGTCATCACTCCATCTAGCAGGAGGGCGTCCTACACTACGTTTACCGGTTCGCGGTCTTGAGTGCTTAGTACGAGTTTTTTAACGTTCTCGATAGCGAAAAAGTTAGCTCATACTCGTATGGAATGGGATCGTTTGCGTACGTTTGCCGCTAAGGGCGCTGTTCCAACCGCATATAAAATTGGGCTAACTTTTACGCTATCGCGAACGTTAAAAAACTCGCACTAAGCACACTGAAGACGATATACTATTATGGACACGAAATTGAAAGAGTTACTATTTCCGTATTTTTTTTACCACTCCTTTCATACCAGTTCATCAAAATGCTTTAAGCACACGTATTTCGATAAGGACAATCACCTATCTCTGTCAGTTTGAGTTAATTGTTTTTAAATAATTAAGCGATGTATGTATCGAAAAATTATTAAAATATTCAAAAGTTTAACTTTCAAACAAACAGAAGACCGCGTAGGGTGACAGGTAATAAAAAAATCAATTTCTATTCAATAATGATTTTAATTCATCAATTTATTCATGTTTCGTAAATTAATAATAAAAAACATTTTATTATTACGTTTAACATTTATCAATTATTAATGTTATCGATATTTTGTGAATGACTTGTTCTATTATTCGATACTTCGAAATAAGTAATTAATACGTACGTACACAACACTAGCTGACTTGCAAATATTTATTTGAAACAAACAATGAGTATGTATATATATTTTATTATGTATGATGTCATCTATTTATGTCCAGACATATTTATCTAGATAAAACTCTACGTAACCTTAACATTACAATGTTATATATAAAAAATATGGGAAATGAAATTGCAAGCCAGTTTACAAAAAAAAAACAATTGGCACAGACAACAAAAAGTTCGAAAACCATGCACAGACTATATAACACTACTCGATAGGTACACTTGTTCGACAATGTTTCGATTATTTTATACTTAGTATTCAAAAAAAGAGTATTATCCTTAATTAATATACAAATTGTATTTACAGTTCGTATAAACTAACGGCTTAACTAATGAAGGCACCAGAGTGAGGTCGGTGGAGGTATTACCTGAAAGCGAATAGAACTCATTTTACTAATATATTTACTAAAAGTAAACACTTGTATCGATTAATGACAATCGCCTCGGAATGTGGATACTATAAGTTGTTGTTATTTAAAAAAATTGCAATTTAACCGATTTTAAAAACATTTTTTTATTTGCCCTTCAAAATTCTTTAGTTTACATAAGAAATCGAAAACTGTCTCTTCATTTAATTTTAAATAGGATACTTTTGAATTGAAGAATTAAAATAATAATATTTAGGTTCAACATTTATAACATCGAGGGATGAAAGGTTATTAAGGTTTAAGCGACATTTCACTTAATACGCGACATTTATCTTTGTAATCAAAGGTATGTTTTATTTGGTACTAGCTGACCCGGCAGACTTCGTAGTGCCTCAATCGATAAATAAAAGACCTAGACTTTTGTATAAAATAAACTTAAAACAAACAAAAGGAATCCGTCCGACGGGGGACACATCAAAGGAAAAACAAAATTGTTATTTTTATTTAATACCGAGTATTTTCATATTTATTGTAACTTTTAAACCTTCTCTCGACTTGAACAAATAATTCAAGAGCAATATTAACCAAATCGGTCCAGCCATTCTCGAGTTTTAGCGAGACTAACAGCAATTCATTTTTATATGTATAGATAGATTAGCAACAACAAATCAATGTTTTTAATTGAACTTTAATTATGTAATGGGGTAAAAATTCAAATAGCTGACGAAGATTTTTTGTTAAGATTTTTTTTTTCAAATTTTCGCATTTATATCGTTCTCCTGTGAAGTTGCAAAAATATCGCTTAAGCCAAATAGTATTTCATCCCTCGGATTATAATATCACATACTTATTTAATCGAACGCATGGCGGCGTCAGACGTCCGTGCTCCAAATTATCGCATTTGTACCCAATGCACAAGATGGACAATTCTAAAAAAAAAGGAGATTATCTATGTTAATATTTTATAGAAGAAATTTTTTTTGGCGGGAAAGCATTAAACGTTTGAATTGTGTTACAAGTATGTATTTCTTCGAATGTACAGAGGAGGTTTTGAAGTCGTCGTGGCCTAAAGGATAAGACGTCTGGTGCATTCGTATCTAACGATGCACCGGTGTTCGAATCCCGCAGGCGGGTACCAATTTTTCTAATGAAATACGTACTTGACAAATATTCACGATTGACTTCCACGGCGAAGGAATAACATCGTGTAATAAAAATCAAACCCGCAAAATTATAATTTGCTTAATTACTGGTGGTAGAACCTCTTGTGAATCCGCACGGGTAGGTACCATCACCCTGCCCGTTTCTGCCGTGAAGCAGTAATGCGTTTCGGTTTGAAGTATGGGGCAGACGTTGTAACTATACTGAGACCTTAGAACACATATCTCAAAGTGGGTGGCGGCATTTACGTTGTAGATGTCTATGGGCTCCGGTAACCACTTAACACCAGGTGGGCTGTGAACTCGTCCATCCAACGAAGCAACAAAAAAAGGAGGCGGTGTTATGGTGATTATCTCTATCCGTGAGCACTTACACTCCCATTAAACCATAATTCAAGTTTTAATGGTTGCTGTAAATCAGTGATATACTTACAACAATGCTTTCGATTGCGTTCGCCAATTGTTCTTCCATTATTTTAACATCACCGTGATCCAGTACTTCCTGGAATACAAATAAATAAAAACGTTATAGTACACAAACGTCAAACGTTTTTTTTTTCCTCCCTAAGCTGATAGCCTTGAGAGGCTATTTCAGCGGAACCTTAACTAGTAGGTGAGCTCACGGGGCTCAAACCTGACGACGATGCTAACACGAACCCTAGCAAGAGCCGTGCTTCGCAGAATCTACCACCGGATCGGAAACGCGATCCATTGAGAAGATCCGGCGAGAAACTCAGTGAGTGGGCTGTGTCTGAGGGTTAATGTACTCGTCGAGCCCTTCGTCGCAAGCGACGGGTTCGACAAGAACGATGACCGGTGCTTGAGGTATCTAAAAGCACCGTTAGTGGATCGGGAGGATCCGAAATGACTGTCAAACATATGGTCACATGTATGTTCACATAAATTATTATCGATGCCTGAATAGATACATTGCGTGTCTATTCTAGAATTGATTCAATGCTCTGTGGCACACGTCGGAACAGATTAGTCTTCAAAAATGAATTATTGTATTTGTCATCCCCTTACTGCCATGTGTAGTATGTTGTGGCGGGTAGCTATCATACAACTCAAGATATTTGACAGATGCCTGAATCTCGCTTAGGACATTTTCAAGATAAGCTTATTATACAAGTTCCGAATGTTCTGAACAACAACATTCGGGTCTCGTCCGGTAACGCTGATATAGCCTCTCAAACGGATTCGGTTCGGACCTTTAATTCGTCGTTAAAAACTCCAAATGTACACTACACCTTTGAGACACTCCACATACGTAACCGAAGTGTTGTCGAGTGGTTCCGTGCTCTCGGTCCCCCACAGACTGATGCACAATCAAACGGTACAGGCTTCGTATAATTAAACTGCTCATTTGACACTTAAGATCTTATTACTATAAAACACTTTTTTCCCTACCTATGTTGATGGCCTTGAGAGACTATTTCAGCTTCACCTTAACGTGTAGGTGAGCTCATGGAGCTCAAACCAGAAGTGTTGCTAACACTAGCCCTAGCAAGAGCAGTGCTTCGCGGAATCTATCACCGGATCGGAAACGCGACCCACTGAGAAGATCCGGCGAAAACTCAGTGGGCTGTGTCTATGGGTTGATTGCACAAATGTGGGAAAATGAAACAAAGCCGCTAGACGTAGCTTCTCGGGATCCTCCAAAAAGACCATTGAAATAATCTCAGTAAATATCCACCATTTTACTGAGATTACATTTCATCCCATATTATCTCATTTCATTTAATTTCATGCCAATTGATTAATGTTCCAAATTAATCAACTTCATTTCGTTTCACTTCATTTTTCATTAAAAAAAGTTATCAACGATTAGGCTGTATAGTATGTATGATACCTCTGCCTTTCCAGTTAGAAAAATAATACTACTACTACTACTACTACTAGTAAATGACCTGTTGACAGGTGTTGACGGCGTCGGCCAGTCGCGGTGCGGCGGCGCACAGCGCGGCGGCTGCGCATGCGCACGTGACGGACGCGAGCCGCGCCGCGCCCTGCAGCACGCCCGCGTTGCCGCGCGTCAGCCCGCCGCACTGGCCCAGCGACGCGCGTACGGAGCGCCGCCACTCCTGCCGCGCGATACCACACTCACTACTGTTTTTTTTTTCCTACCTAATCTGAGAGCCTTGAGAGGCTATTTCAGCCTAACCTTAACTAGTAGGTGAGCTCACGGGGCTCAAAGCTGACGACGTTGCTACCACGAACCCTAGCAAGAGCTGTGCTTCGTAGAATCTACGACCGGATCGTTAACGCGACCCACTGAGATAATCCGACGAGAAACTCAGTGGGCTGTATCTGAGGGTTAATTTACTCGTCGAGCCCTTCGTCGCAAGCGACGGGGTCGACGAGACCGATGACCGGGGACTACTGTGTGCTTAGTGCGAGTTTTTTAACGTTCTCGATAGTGTAAAAGTTAGCTCATATTTGTATGGAATGGGATCGTTTGCGTACGTTTGCCGCTAGGGGCGCTGTTCCAAATGCATACAAAATTGGGTTAACTTTTACGCTATCGAGAATGTTAAGAAACTCGCACTCAGCACACTGCCCAACGGACGTTGAGCCGCATGAGCGCTCGAGTCACGCTTCGCAATAACTATGTTTACACCATCGATTTCTGCGGCGAAGCAGTAACGCGTTTCGGTTTGAAGGCCGATCTTGTCTGAAGGTGGGAGGCGGCATATCATTATTGATTTCTAGGGGTTTCGGTAACCGCTTAATACCAATTGAACCATGAGTTCTACTCATGAGCGTCTACTCATATAGGTAATAGAGAAAAATCACAAAGCTAGACGAGTCATAACCAAGCTTTAGTACAGAATATAATCAATACCAAAGACATAAGTTTGAATTCACCCAAACATCTACCGGTTATTATGTTCTAAATAACACTATCTCTTTTGTTTAATTTTTTTTCCAAATCACTCACAACACTGACTGTAGATAGATAAATAAATAATGAACCTATATTGCTCATTTAATAGATGGCAGTTTGGTAAATGACCATGTGTTGACAAGGTTACTTGGCAGATTCCCTGCGATGGATGTAGTATCATAGTTTGTTACCATAACCGTTATTCAGTTTAGTTCAATGAATGACAATTACATTGTTACTGTAATCTAAAAGCTGTTAAAACTCACTTAGTCACAAGATTGATATCGGTTGATTAATTATAATTAACGAAATACTGACCTCAGTTTCGGTCTTAGCGTCTGCGTCTCCGATGGACCGAACGAGCTCCTTAGAGATAGCCATTAGGAGGTAATTCGTGATTTTCGCTTTGGTTTCGTTTGTGACTTCCTCCCGGCCCTCCGTGGGCGCGAGGTCCCGGCAGAGGCGCGCCAGGTCCTCGTCGCCCCTCTCGTGCAGCCGCTCGAACAGGTCCTCGATGAGCTGGCCGACCAGCTGGCTCCTCATGAAGGGGCACGAGCAGCGTGAGTCTGATGTGATGTAGCTCATGCTGTGGTGCATCTGCGGGAGCGCCGCCCCCCGGGGGGCGTGACCCTCGTCCACGTACTCAGTGCGCTCTGGCCGCAGCTCTGGCCGCGCCGCGCGATACGACTGCCTCAGGGTTTCGCTCCGCAGCTCCTCCAACTCCTCAGTCTTGATGGACAGCTCGTGGCTCATCCTCTTGATCCTCTCGTCGCACTTCCTCTTGCATTGAGTTAACGCTTTCTGCGTCAAAGCTAACTGTCTCTCCAGAGATTCGACCTGAGAACACATTTCCCTTAAAACTTCCTTTAATGTTGTTTTCATGCACGTGCACACGTCCCACGTCGCGGTCCAGGGGCGCACTAGCCGCCGACGACGAAGAAGAGGAAGCGAACACTCAAAGCGTTAGACCGACACCGGATTTAAAAGCGAGCACACGTAAAACATAAAAACAAAACCCTAAATAAAAATTAAAGCGCTCAACAATTACAAAACCAAATAAAGCATTAAGCACCCAAACTAGAACAGACCTCAACCCTGGCACAAAGAGATCGTCTCGAATACGAGCGATGGCGTGTAGGCGTGACGTCACGTCGCTCGGCCGGGTACCTCGACGTCTGGGACGTGACCCCAAACAATGACTAAAAGACGACTATGTACCTAAAGTACATAGTCGCCCTAAAGCTCTCTCGCGTCGGTCTGCGAGAGTCGATCTTTGTGCGAGTGAGCCGAACCGGCACGTACCTCCTCCTTCAGCTCGCTGGTGGTGACCTCCAGCTCCTGGTTGTTCTTGCAGGCTCTGCTGAGCTCCTTCCTGATGCACTCCAGGTCTCCAATGAAGCCGAGCTCCGTTTTCTTCGACAGGTCCCTCTGAGCCTTCAGCTCTTCGTCGACTTGCTTGTTGATCCTGCGCAGCTGCTCTATCTCCTTCTGCGGAGTGACGGGCAATTTGCAACTAGTCGTTTCCAAAGTTCGCAGTTTGTTCGATAGACTTTTTTTCCAACATTATTAATTTAATTTGCATTTGATTTAATATTTTACGTAACGTACGTTTAATATTTTATTAATTTTAAGCTCTGTTCTTAGTTATTCATTAAAATTAGACTGTTTTTAGGTTTTCGTTTAGGGAACACAGAGCAACGCATGGAGGACAAACATATATTTATTTAAAGACTTAAAACAAATTACAGCGTAAATAAAATGTTCAGATTTTGATGACACGGAAACTAAAGAATTTCGATAAGCTAACAAACAGCGCCATCGGTCAGTAACTTACAAAACTCACAGGTAATAATAATCTTCCTGCATATACTAAACAAATGACTTGCAATAAAGAGATATAGTGAATATAAATTGAATTGAGCTTATGTGAAACATTGGTATTTTTAACACAGCGCCATCTATGAGATACTAATGTCAGACAGTATTACAATAGTCTGTAAAAACTGATTTAAGGCGCCATCTGTTTTAGACTTATGAAACTTACAATTAATAAAAATCAACATAAGAAATCATTTTATTGTTAATTAATAAATATTGCGACCATTAATCGAAATAAAAACCATCCTATCTTTCAAATTGGATCAAACTGCACACAGTGTACAAATTTAATTTAAAATCGGTTAAATAGTTTAGGAGTCCATCGCGGACAAACAGCGTGACACGTGATTTATATATCGTCTTTTCGCATTAAAAGTGTACTATTTCCAAAAATATTCGAAATTGAGGTAATATGCGGAATCATTTAGTATCACCAGTATTTTTCTCATAAATACTATCAAAAGAGCGTAGTTTAGTTTTATTTTTGTTTTTTTAGTTTACCTATATTTTGATTACTCTTAACAAAATTAATACATAATTTTATCTTACTTTAAAAGACAGATAATGTAACTGGTAAAAACTAAAAAATAAATGTTGCAAAGATGATTAATATTAAAAATATAACATGTTAAATGTAAAACCTTTAAAACACTCTCCTGTAAAATTTAGCAACTTTTGAGATTATACAGTTTTAATGCGAGAAGACGATATATTAAGATAGTAGTAACTATACTTGAGACTTTAGAACTTATATCTCAAGGTGGGTGGCGCATTTACGTTGTGGATGTCTATGGGCTCCAGTAACCACTTAACACCAGGTGGGCTGTGAGCTGGTCCACCCATCAAAGCAATAAATAAATAAAAAGTAGTTTGATTACTTACTTTGAACTTAGTTTCGAGGGTTTTGAAGGCCGCCTCAGCTTTCTTGGCTTCAGCGTCAGCCCTGCCGAACATGGCCGTGAGGTTGTGGTTCTGTGCGGCGAGGGCCCGGCCGTCCCGCTCCGCCTTCTCCAGGGCGATGCGCAGGCCGGACTCGCTCTCTTCCACTTCACGAAGCTTCTGCTTTATAGGCTCGAAGTACTTCTTCCATTCGTCTCTTTCTGATTCGAGTTTTTTAATCTGGAACGCGAGACAGCATGAAGTGTTTGATTAGTCTGCTTTCTGAAGTTTGCTCGAATTAGATTCGACAAGACGGCTAAATCTTGAAAAGTTATGTTTTAATTTTATTTTATTGATGTATGAACGAGCTACCAGAACATAATATCAAAAGTGTATCCTATCCATCCCTATCCGTGTAGGGTAACAACACATCCTTCAATCATAATTTATACAATTTAAAAAATTATCGCCCTTTATATTTTATTGCTATGCTATATGTACCTAATTTTATTTCTTCGTCGTTGACTTCATTTGTTTGTAAGTTAAGTACATATTAAATTTAAAAAATTTATACCTGTGCGCGGGATTAGAACACCGGCACAGTCGTATCGCTCGATACGAATGAACATAGCGTCTTATCCTTTAGACCACGATGACTTCTATTTTTAAATTTAATAATTATAAATCGAACCATATGTAAGTATTGTAATAATGATTCAATCGTATACTCAGTAAAATTAATAATTTACGAAAATGTATCATAAAAATAATTGCCCAAACAAGCCCGGGCGTTCGTTGATCCGTGCATCAGCTGTTTTTGATTTAGTGTTTCATTTCTGTTTTTTTTAAGTAATGTGTTTTTTTATGAAATGATCGATTTAACTGTACTAACATGATGGAGCGTAAATAATGCTATTAAAACGTTTTAAAAATATGTTATTTTTTCCGTCCCATCATCAAAGTAGTCTGTCTTCGTTTTCTGAATCGATCTCCTAACACCCAGTATACATCTTTCTAACACCGACCTTTCCTTTCAACTGCGTCTCCGCGGCCTGCGACTCTTCAATCTTCTTCTTGTACCCGCCCTCCATTTCGGCCCACATGTCGTCTGCTTGCGTCAGCATCTCCAGATACGCAGTCTCCCGCCTCTCCAGCTCCGCCACTCTGCTCTTCAAGTCTTGTTCGCTGATCAGCAACGCCCGAATCTTGCTGCCCATCGTCGGATCAACTGGGAGCTGCACAGATATTGTAGTCGAATTATGATATAGCAAATATTTAGAGCCGTGGCTTAGACGACAATGGTAAGATTATATATTACTAGCCGCACCCGCCCGCTTCACTGGTCATTTAAAATTAACATTATTATTTATTGACATTATTATTAGGGAGTCCAACACTCATATAAATATTAGCCTATCCATTAAGTACATGTATTTTCTACATGGATACCAAGTTTCAAGTCAATCGGACGCATAGTTCAGTAGTTATAACGGAACATCCGTAAAACCACTGTAGATTTATATATTAGTATAGATATAGATATCCTTAATCCTTGCCGACTTAACATTGTAAAGAATCAAGCACTCATTTATGGACAAAGAAACCAAGTTGCAGTCTATAATATTACGGCTAGTTACATTACGTATTGGATGCTCCAGGCATTGAGGTCCACGGGCTCATGGTAACTCACGGTAACCACTCATCGCCAAGTAGGCTGTAAGTATGTTCGACTACCCACAAAGATATATTTTTTTGTAAAACTACAGACTTGCTCAAGTTAATGCTTTAAATGTAAATCGATACCCTATATAAGTAGATTTAAAAAAAACCCACAACAATTTATAAGAAAAGCCGACGAGACGATATTTATATAAAGCAGGTAAATCTTCTACAAAACTGCCGTTACAGACACTAAACTGTTTTTTATTACTCACTTCCTCATCTTCGATAATCTAATGTAAGCCGGTGTAAACATTGAAAAACAATAAACTATTTTCGTTTCTCGTTGATAGTGTAACAAACATAAACACTCGTTGATAATAAAACAAACAATAAATTGATAGATTTAGTACTGTTTACAGATCACTAATAAGCGTTCCCAACGACACCAGTAGCAATAGTCGTTAATTTTAAGGATCGCTTACGAGAATCTGTACTGTTCAAACTGAGCCCTTACAACTCATGTCTCGAGGTGGGTGGCGACATTTACGTTGTAGATGTCTATGGGCTCCGATTACCACTTAACACCAAGTAGCCGTCGACCTCATTGATGCGTTGCTCTCGGTGGCTGGATTTGAAAGATGAGTTGGTGTCATGGCTAATGTGAGCATACGTCCCACTTTGGGCGGGATTGTCCCGCTTTCCCCAACGCGAACAAAAATGTCCCGCTATCATTTATATGTTTATTAGAAACTTACCGAATACTTACTTATCCCAAATCCTTTATTACAAAATACATACTAAAGAACTCTAATTTTGCTGTAGAAAAGTAGTTTTTTGTTGCGAAATTATTTATCAATATTATTTTAAAAGGCAAGTTTGGTGTAAGAATTAAGATGTCAGTGAGGGAAAGGTACCATAATAAATTATTTCAAGTAATTTTTTAAACCACATTTTTTATTTTGGGACTTAAATATTACATCTTACCCCGACATACCCTATATATTAGTATTTATTTATATCCGAATTTCCGTAGGCGTCCCGCTTTGACACGAAAAAGAAATGGTCACGTTAGTCATGGCGAATGTCGCTCGCTGACATTTCGACGTTCATAAATCGAACAGTAACTTTTACATACACACTTTGGACACCATATTTAAAATGTTTATTACTGTCAGTTGTTAAACTAAAAAGGCTTCCTACCTTTTCGTCTTCCTTCTCCTTTCGTATTTTCTGTTCCAAGTCCTCAATCTTCCCTTCGATGTTTTCCTTCTTGACTTCAGCCCCACATGCGGCGGCCGCTACCTGTCTCCTGGCGGTCTCAAGTTCTTCCTCTAACTCCCGTATCTTCCTCTCTAAATTGTTCTGGACTTGTGACGATCGCTTTTCTATCTCGTTCTTCTCTGATAGTAACCTGAAATACAAAATCCTTTGATACAACCTTGTGCATATACTTTACATAGACGGATTTTTTTTTAATTGCTTATTGGATGAGCTCACGGCCACCTGGATACTGTAGCTCATAGACCTCAACAAAGCAAATTCCGCCATCAACCTTGAAACGTGAGTTCTCAGTGAGAGGAGTTCTAAGTCTCAGTTTTAACAGTACAACGGCTACCCCGCCCTTCAAACCGAAACGCATTACTGCTTCACGATAAAAATACGCATGGCAGTGGTACCAACCGGTGTGGTCTCTACAGACACTCTACTACCAGTAGGATTCCGTGTTGCTCTATCATAAAACCATTACAATAAATTATTATGAGGTGAATATGACTGATAACTTATAAAAATACAAACGTTAGGTTGTATGTTTGTACGATTAGAGTGTACATATATCCAGCTGCTAGTTCTAAGCACATTAATACATATTTAAGATTCTTCTATGAAATGTTTAATAACAATAAATCCATTGGAGCGGGCGGATGGCGCCAATGGTGCTGTGTGCTCCAAACCTCAATTACGCCCTATTTAATACGTCCACACACAACACCCCTCCGATCCTTCCACCGGCGCCGTTTCTTCACATCATGGGTCATGGTTAAGCACTAGACATGTTTCTACCTAATAAATCTAATTCTTTTTTTTTTCCTACCTATGCTGGTAGCCTTGAGAGGCTATATCAGCTTCGCCATAACATGTAGATGAGCTCACGGGGCTCAAACCGGTTGTGTTGCTAACACTGGCCCTAGCAAGAGCAGTACTTCGCAGAATCTACCGCCGGGTCGGAAACGCGACCAACTGAGAAGATTCGGCGAGAAACTCAGTGGGCTGTGTCTGTGGGCTAATTTACTCGTCGAGCCCTTCGTCGCAAGCGACGGGTTCGACGAGGACGGTGACCGGTGCTTGTGGTGCCTAAAAGCACCGTTAATGGATCGGGAGGATCCGTAATGACGTGTTTTGGACGACGTTGACTCTAATTCCTAGCGCAAGACTCCAAGAAGGTTGGGACAAATAAAGCGGCAAGGAGACTGTCCGGCTGCAACCAGTGTGTGTCGGGTCCTTACTTGGTGAGCTGTTCTTGAAGCTCGGCGCGGCGCGGTGGGGGTGCGGCGGGGGGCTCGCCCCACGCGACCAGGGCTCCGCAGCCGCCCTTCTTAGACTCCTGCTTGATTTGAGCTATGACCAGCTTCGTGTTCTGGTTGTACGGGCCCATTCGGTTCATTAACGCTCGCTGAAATCAAATTATGCGCTGATAATGACATCAATAATTAAGGTTCAGGTTCTCTTTAAAAGGATTCGTGTTGGGATAAAAATATGGTAATCAAGAATTCAAATAATAAATTTAATAGAGCCGCAGACACATTTTCGCAAATACGTAAACACATTTAGTTGGGCAGAGTAAATCAAATTACCGCGAATTACCTCGACCTGTATCTATGCATCTATGATATCACGGAATCATTCAACGTAATTTTCATCAACTATGAGACCTTTAATTAACGTAAAAATTTGCACACACATTACGGAGCGCTGATAACACTTTCATTAGGTACGTTTAGTCCAATTTCCGGAAAGGAATCACTAGAGGACAACGAATAAAAAAAATAAAAAAAATTAGCGTTATATGCATAATTGCGTTTTTTAGTTTAAGTTGTTAGGCTAGTTATATATTTGCGTTTTAAAGATTTCAAGCTAAGTTTTTATTATTACATTAAATTGCACACCAGCAATACAATCTTTGTCGAAACGAACTCACGGCCTCACACTACAAAATTACACTTCACTACATTAATAATCATAAGACATGAGGTTTTAAATCTCAACTGTTTGCTCAACAGCAGTCCCACTTTACAAGTTTCCACTTTAGATATATATACAAAACGGAGGGAAAAAATTAACTAAGTTTGCTACTGAGTTCATAAAATCGTTTCTATCGACTGACCTGGCCCCCCGCCGACACACTAGCCCCGATGACTTGCAGCACGTTCCACGCTATCAGCGCCGGGACGGCCTTCTCCAGCTTGTCCAGCCGCGACACCAGCTCGTTCTGCAACACATTCATCTGGTGCTCAGACCTGCGAGCACTTACCCCGGGACACGGCGGAACGTGACCGGGTACACTCGCCCTATATCTACATTAGTTCAAAAGTGACAGGTGTGAGAAAGTGCTGTATTCTTTGGCCGTTGATGTGTGACTCGTTTGTGTTGTAACGACTTCCTAACCTTCAGACAGGAACGCAATACTTTAAGGCACAATTTCCCTACTCGTTCTGGCACGGTCGTTATACAGACGCCACCCTCACACTGTGACGCCTTTTTTTATGAGTGAAGGATTACTGGTTTCCACTTTCACCAGAACAGGTGGGCGAGCAAAGGCTCACCCAGGAGGGGTGGGATTTGCTAACAGCTGTCCGAGCGCCTCCAAAGGAGACCTAACAACTCAAGATCAACTGCTTTGCGAATGAATCTACTACCAGATCGGAATCGCGACCCGCTGAGAAGATCCGGCGAGAAACTCAGCGTGCTGATGCATGGGTTAGGTTCCACGTTGAACTCTTTGTCGAGTTCGATGATTACGGCTACCGGGGTCCCTAAGCCTGCTCCTAGTATTAGAGCTGAAGGCGTCTAATGCAAAGGTTATTGGATCTGATGGATCTGTAAAGACGTACGGACTCCAGCATCCGTCGCGAGCACATGACCCGTGATAGCTCCTACTACTGCAACTCACCTCTCTGGCCTTGAGCGCACATTCCCTGTTGCTGAGCTCCGCCATGAGTCGCTCGGCCTGGGCCCTCGAACATTCCCGTTGCTCCGTCATGTCTCTGAGCTGCGCCGAGCACAGTTCGTAGTCCATCTCCAGCCTTGAACGTTGACAGTACAATTATAAAATAAACAAACTTACAAATACGTGACCTAAGTATATCGTTTGGTATCTAGAACAGTTATAGCAATATATAATATTTTTCCCCTACTTATTTACTAGTAGCGTAACGAGTTATTCCAACTTCTGACGGATGGGTAGACAAGCAATTTTTTTTTATTGCCGTTGTAGGCAGACGAGCGCACGACCCACCTGATGGTGAGTGGTTACCGTCGCCCATGGACTTCAGCAATGCCAGTAACAGAGCCAAGCCGCTGCCTACCAATACTCAGACTCAAGACTCAACCTGAGAGAATTGCTAACACTAGCCCTAGCAAGAGCAATGCTTTGCAGAATCTACTACTGGATCGGAATCACGATCCACTGAGAAGATCCCACGAGAGACTCAATGTGCTGTGTCTATGGGTAATTTCGTAGACAGGGAATTTGAGAGAAATATAATAATTTGCAAAATCCGGCGTGGCTAGGAGTGATGACATCTAAGAGCTCTATACAGGACCACGTTTCTACAAATCCTTTTAAAATACTCACTGCTGCCAATGCAAGCGCGTATCGTTCTCAATTTCTTCCAACTCACAACAATCCTCTTCTAGCCTCTCATATTTCTCTTGAAGGTCCGCTAATTGCGTTTCCAATTCCTAAAACCAAGGAACAAAATTTGAATAAATACTTATATATTGGCTTCAGAACACATATTTTTGTAGGCGAAAAGGTACCTCAATCTTATTTTCTAGCAGAAACTCCTTTTGCAGCCTCTGGGCGAGCTTAGATTCTTTGACGTCTTGAGCCGCCTCGTAAATAGAGATCTTTCCCTCCAAGAACTTAAGCCTCCTCTCGTAATACTGCTTGTGCTTCTTCCCCAGCTTCACGCATCTACACTCCAGGCCCTCGCCATCGTCTTTCACACTTATCGTCTTATTTCTAGCTTGCCTCTCAAGTTTCTCCCTAATACTATTCAGTCGTTGAATTTCAGTGTTCAGTTCACCGGTGCATTCAAAGTTTTCGTTAACGTCCGTCTGTGTGCTTCTCGTTTCTGTTTCGACTCCTTCGAAGATGCCGCTCTCCTGCAAAACGTTTATCGGCTTCCTGTCCTCGCTAAGGCTCTCCAGGGATTCGCATTTGTAGCCCTTCTGTTGGTACGGTGTGACCGTTGCGATCGCTTTGTGAGTTTTGTGCGCCGGAATGTCTGCGTTAACTCTTAGGTCGCATAGTCGTTTCGGTTTTGCCTGTTGTATTTGAAAATTTTGTGCAAATTAATTTACGGACGGCATTTTGTCAAATATTGAATTTTACAGTGATTTTTACTACATACTTCATAGTGACATTGTCTCGAAGTTAACGCTAAAGAGGTTGCTTACCTGAAAGCACTCATCTTCGCTGACTGAGCTGCTCAAAGCTTGAAGGTTGTATAGCAGCATTAAGACTTGCTCCAGACAGCCCCTGTCCTCGGCGGATGCAGCGTTCAATATCATTTGTTCGAGGTGCTCCTTAACCGGATTACTTCTCAACGAATCACTAGTCGCTTCGGAGTTTCGATCTAAGATATCTGCGAGAACTTGGGCTTTGGCGAAGTCTTCTTTGAAATCGTCGTGGGAGCCCAAATGTCGCCGCGGGTTACAGGGACTGCTTGGAGCGTGGGGTGATTTGTACCCGGAATCCATTCGTTTGAGTTCAGGCGACGCAGAATCCTTAATTCGGGACCCGGGAGACACGCAACCCGAATCTGAGTCTGTTAGGTTATCCCTAGCACCCTGCAACAAAAATCATCATTAAATAACTACTTTAAATACCGCTTTATATTATTATTATTGTTCTACCTTCAAAGAACAAAACAAAACTGTATTTAGCACTAAATTAATTGCAAATTAGCCGTTTAGTTTCACAATTTACTTTACGTCCCAAATCATTTATCTTAAGTAACACGTTCATCTTCTCCCTCGCGGTACTACGCTGTGAAGCCTTGAAGGCATAAATAAAATTTAGTTTTGTCGCTTACATCATTTCGTTCGTGTTTATCTAGATCAGGACATAGTGGGCGATACATTTGGAGCTATCTATATATAAACCCCACCATATTTCATACCGCCTAAAACAAAAGCGGTTATGCATGCGAAATAAAATTGCTCAAGTGTTTTTCTTATTATGTAACAATATGTGAATTTTAATTGGCAATTATATTGTAAGTCGTTATATGTTTTTTTAAGTTGCTTATATAATTTTGATGTGCCTATATTATTTGCAAAATTCTCTTTGTTTACCGTTAAATAAACGATTAATCCTAGAATAAATATAATTAAATGTTTTGGTTTTAACTCGCGGAAATCTCAGAGAATATAGTAGTGATATATTATATCTGACCTCATTTTCAAAAAGCCTTTCTTTGTTTAAATGTTTTAAAGAGAGAGTCAATAGATTAGTTTATATCACAGGACAAAGGCAGCAGTTGATTGTATATATCTAACAAAAATATGCATGAATATAACACCATTTGTGAAGACTTAATATAATGGTGTTGTTGAACTAATCTATACTTATATACTTATACTATATAATATAATAAAGAGAAAGGATTTGTTTGTTTGTTTGTTTGTTTTGAATAGGCTCCAAAACTACTGAAGCGATTTGAAAAATTCTTTCACTGTTTGGAAGCTACACTATTCCCGAGTGACATAGGCTATAATCTTTTTTGAAAAAAATTAGGGATCCTTACTAAAATTCCAATAATGTAACCCAAAGTGTAAAAAAAATACCTAAAATATTCTTTACATCGCGTGCCCTGCGAAAACTATTGATGATAGAATAAAACAATGTACTACGACTTTGTAGAACACATTATTATTTACAAAAAGTGTCGCAACAGCATATGTCTAACTATTATAGTTATGCCGCAATAAGTGTTCTTTTATTTAAAATATAAAATAACGTCAAATGTCGTTGAAATTTTTGTTTAAGACCCGAGCGGAGCTGGAGCGGGCCACTAGTGTGATGATAAATCGGGAAGATGGATAACAGATCCCCTATGAGATGAATATTAAAGTATTCGATCTTTACTTCTTTACATTTGTTTCATTCTATAAATTACATTCGTTTATCCTTTACAAACAAAAAAATGCATTTTAATCATTTAAATTGTGTTTAAGTAAATGTTACAACTGGCGCTCGCATTAGCTACATTAAAAAGTCCAAGCTTAGTTAAATTTCTTAACAGATTTTATCAGTCATTGTTTGTTATTAACACACGGATCGCGTCTGCGTCTGCAACACAATAGCGGAGTTATGTAAACCATATCTGTACTATAGAAAATAGTGTGGTGTTATTTACGTTTTGTCGGAGCTCAGTTTTAGGTAGTTTGGTTTGATTTCGTAATGTTATTAAACCCACTGAGTACCTCGCCGGATCTTCTCATATATTTTTTTTGCTACCTAATCTGATAGCCTTGTGAGGCTATTTCAGCGTAACCTTAGCTAGTAGGTGACCCTAGCAAGAGCAGTGCTTCGCAAAATCTACCACCGGATCGCAAACGCGACCCACTGAGAAGATCCGGCGAGAAACTCAATGAGCTGTGTTTGTGGGTTAATTCGCTCGTCGAGCTCTTCGTCGCAAGCGACGGGTTCGACGAGGACGATGACCAGAAAGGATCTTTTTGTGGGTCGTGATTCCGGTGGTAGATTCAACGAAGCAATGCTCCTGCTAGGGATAGTGTTATCAAATTCAGGTTGAACCTGTGAACTCACATACCCGTCTGCAAGAAGCTGGAATAGCCTTAGGCTACTAACCAATGGGTCGGGAAAAAAAGATAATGTTTTTCATCAACCAACTCAAGTACTCACTTATACGTACTTATAGTACTCACTTGTCATACGACATGTAATTTTCAACCAAATATTTGGTCTGATGATCAAGCACTCTCTACATAAAATATTCTAAATCGCGCTTAGCTTTAAGCAGTTGCCTATAAGGGTGTAGACGTCAATTCCAACACCCCTTAAACATGCCATCGAATTTCAATTGTATTACAATCGTAACTGCTTCATGAGTCTGAATTCGAAGGCCTTGACTCAATTCACAATACACTAGCAATCTTTATAAAACACTCGCAATCAACAAACAATTTAATGAACGCGATAGAAATAAAACGAATTATCATTCACAGCACGTCTGTGACAACTTGAGCTTTCATTGTTTTAAATGTAACTAAAAGCAAGCGACCGCGCGTTAATCTGACCGTTTCAATGCCGGAACTAATGCTATAGTACTCGACTAGACGTATACAGTCAATGAATCACATATCGTATAGCATTAATTCAACAGCAATTCAATTTTCAATTTTCAACAATTCAATTTTTACTGGTGGTAGGACCTCTTGTGAGTTCGCGCGGGTGGGTACCACCACCCTGCCTATTTCAGTTTAAAGGGTGGGGCAGCCGTTGTAACTATACTTGAGACCTTAGAACTTATATCTCAAGGTGGGTGGCGCATTTACGTTGTGGATGTGATGGGCTCCAGTAACCACTTAACACCAGGTGGGCTGTGAGCTCGTCCACCCATCTAAGCAATAAATAAAAAAAAAACGGTAGGCAGCGGCTTGGAGCGCTAGGCAGTGGCTCGGTACGGCCCCTGGCATTACTGAAGCCCATGGGCGATGGTAACCTCACCATCAGGTGGTCCATATGCTCGTTTGCCTAAAAGGGTAATAAAAAAACATTTAGCTGAGACGAGCCCAGTTTGTTGCATTGGTTTACGGCCTACCTGAAATTAAACGGTTACCAGAACCAATCAACAACATAAATACAAGCCATCGAAACATAAGATCTTAGGCTCAGTACAACGGCTACCCCACCCCTTCAATCCGAAACGTATTACTGCTTCACACCAGAAATTAACAGGGTATATACAGGGTGTCCCAGAAAGAATGGATAATCCTGAAACACCACATAGTACAGCTATTGGGGACTCAAAATAAAAAAATAAAAATTTCTTAGGTAGTATCCAAATTAAAAATAAAGAAAAAATATCAAATTTCATGATTAAAATTTAAGTTCAGATTAACTTTTATAAAAAATTACTCTAGCTACTCATACGATTTCCTGCGTATTCCTTAGTGTAGTCCATGTAGAATATTATAACACCATAAAGCCTATGGATTTCATTTATTTGTAGCTATTGTATATTCCAGAAACGCACAGCAGTATGGCTAATAAATTTTTTTTTTTAATACGTAATTTGGGTACAACCTGAGATTTTCTTTTTTATGTGTCCTCAATAGCTCTACTATGAAGTGTTTCAGAATTATCCATTCTTTCTGGGACACCCTGTATATAGCTACCTAAGCTTGCGTAATTTGGTCGAAGTTCAAAATTACCTGTCGCGAAATCGTTAATTTTGGTCAATAAGTCGATGCCCGAAATACCATTCGCCCAAAAAAAAAAAGCGGATTACATACCATATTACTAATCAAAAAACCTAAACGAAATTTCACGACGCTAAGCATGACTCGATGGCGGCGGTCCGTCGTGCCATAAATGAGCATCCGGTCCGCAGATACTACGCTTAAGTCAAGGGACCGTTAACAATAAGACATCCGTTTCGAACGAATTCGGTAAACAAACTTTTTTTATTTTATTTTCTACCTATGCTGATAGCCTTGAGAGGCTATATTAGCTTCTCCCTGACGTATATTTATGTTTTAAAATTGAAGTGCTCAGTTTAATTTCGATTTAGTAAGTTTTCGGGAAAACTGTTCCGATATCGTGATTGTGTCGTGACAAATCATCGAGTTCCATTGGTAAGACCAAAATCGACTAAAAAGAGAGTGGACAACGCTGTCTGCTCCTAAAATGTAGCCCCCAGTCTTCAACAACCCCTTTTTTTTCTTACCTATGCTGATAGCCTTGAGAGGCTATATTAGTTTCTCCTTGACGTGTAGGTGAGCTCACTGGGCTCAAACCGGGTGTGTTGCTAACACCGGCCCTAACACGGGCAGTCCTTCACAGAATCTACCACCGGATCGGAAACGCGACCAACTGAGAAGATCCGGCGAGAAACTCAGTGGGCTGCGTCTATGGGTTAATTCACTCGCCGAGCCCTTCGTCGCAAACGACGGGTTCGGCGAGGACGGTGACCGGTGCTTGTGGTACCTAAAAGCACCGTTAATGGATCGGGAGGATCCATAATGACGTGTTTAGGGTGACGACGACAAAACAACCAATCGCTAGAGTTCATATTAAAATGTCTTTGCCACACGTTTGGCAACAGCTAAACTTTTCAGTTCTTCTAATGGCCATTGCTTTTATATTAGCCTGTATTGGTGTGTTTATCTAAGTTTACAATTTATCTGAAGTTAGTTGAATTACCGGAGTTTATGACACAATGTCGCAAATGATTTGAGATTTGCGATCAGAGTCTCAAATGATTGTTACAGCTATCATAAGCTTCAAGCGAATCAATCACGTTTGAAATTGGATCTTAAAAGTACATAGCATCGGTCGTACATACTGCATACATAGAAATCGGTCGAAATAAACTGCGAATAAATTTTATATTAGAGCCCAAAAACTCTCGGAAGCTTCGTAATAATATATTCAAATCGTACTGATCTTTCGTGAAACATTTTATCTATTTATTTTGATCGATTCAATCGGGCACCAGGTAGGTAGGTATACTTTATTACAGTACTGCGGACTTTTTCTTGTACAATTTCCAACATTATTATCACACAATTTATGAGAAATTATTATACAAATGGAAACATACTAATGTTGGTACTATTGACTTGTTTAATAAGTATTTTAGTTAATGACTACGAGATTGTAACAACACTTAAATACTCATAATTCATCGAACATTATAAATGTGTGTGTGTTTTTTTTTAAACTGCAGCTAAAAACAAAATGACACAATATTTGTTTAGGAATTGCGTGCTGGAAAGCCCCTTTAAGTTTGATAACGTGTTTTTATAATTTGTATTTGTAAATGACTTGTAAATGATTCAATTGTATAAGTTACAAGAGAGTAATACTGAGCTACACCTTAGTCATGGAGGCGGGGTTTTTAATATGGCTATTCTACTATTATCCATTCTAACCTAAGCTAATGCCAATGCAAGGTGAGATATATGTCAACATGAACTTAATATCTTAATATCATGGAAATAACGTCTGATTACCGATGTTATGGATATCACCACGGACATAGCTGACCTGTTTCCGCTTTGGACTCTTTTCAATTTACGTTTGATGAATTTCAAGGTCATAGCACTCAGAAAACACCGTGTTACAAAGGTCATGGTACGTACGTAACTATAACAATCCATCCATAACCGGACGGTAGGTACGTAATTAAAGGGCTTGAGAAACGGATTGTTGCTGAGCGCAATTGTATCCGGGTATTAATGTCAACTCTGTATTTGTACCGAACGTAGTAAAATGTCGATGATTAATTAGATTTAAGACTGCGCTAATATGTCCACTATTTCCTATACATCCGCTTGCTATTCAAAAACTTAACTGACAAATTTTTAAGCGACAAATTAAATTTGTGTTTTCCCTATAAGGTTGCGAGTTTAATTGAAATAATGAAAGTTACAACTATGGAATGATAGAGAATAGACAGTTGTGCGCACTCACTTATCGCGGCATTAAAGGCGGTCATGTTTATTTATGCAAGAATCTTATGAATGTGAAACGATTCAAGGCTCTACAACTTCCTTGTTGACCTCTGATACATCGCGACGAAACTAATAAGAATTATTATTATTATATTTGTTTTTATTGCTTAAATGGGTGGACCTGGTATTAAGTGGTTACTGGAACCCATAGACATCTACAGCGTAAACGCGCCACCCACCTTGAGATATAAGGTTCTAAGGTCTCAGTATAGTTACAACGGCTGCCCCGCCCTTCAAACCGAAACGCATTACTGCTTCACGGCAGAAATAGGCAGGGCGGAGGTACCTACCCGCGCGGACTCACAAGAGGTCCTACCACCAGTATTACTAAGCTCGTCAACCGATTGGTTCTCTGGACTCTGTCTATTCTATCACTGTTGACGATTAAGTATGATTGACGTTCACTCACTGCTGGACTGATCGAAATTCAACCATAATCACTAACACCTCAAGATCTACATTATTTTTGTAACATCCGTTTTACTGTTTTATTTTTACATGTAAAAAGCTGCCCATTTAAAAAGGTAAGCTAATAAACAAAACCACTTAAGTGAATCAAAAATATGTATGTTATAATGCTACTAAGTTAGGAGACAGTAAAAATTGAACAGAATATTTTTTTAAATACGTAAGTGGTCTTTACCATACTTAAAATACACTCCATTATTAAACATACAACAAAAATCTACTCCACTAATGGAAGACTGATAGAAGGTATGTACATATATAAATTATGTACATATATCATACATGGTTTTCTTTTAAAAAGTTCAATTTTATGAATAAACTAGCTGTACCCATCCGCTTGTGTGGGCATTTAAAATTAACATTATTACTTCTCACCCCCACAAAGATTCTCCTCATTAACGCCCCCGCAACTGGTGTAGAGAGTCCAACACTCATATAAATATTAGCCTATCAATTAAGTACATGTATTTTCTACATGGATACCAAGTTTCAAGTCAATCGGATGCATGGTTCAGTAGTTATAACGGGACATCCGTAAAAACTACTGTAGATTTATGTATTAGTATAGATAAAATTTCATCAATTAATTTACGAAACATAATTAATAATCTTGGCAAAAACAAACCTGATGGGCCGCTGTTTGTGCGTAGTAATCGGAATGATATTTCCTTTGCTGTTCCTTACTCTTCAAAGACGTTGCGTGAAAATTAATGTTTTCTTTATTAAACGCACCTACTTATTATTTCAGAAACATTGTATGGACGGGTGCGGGCACCGCCAAATCAAAAGAACTGGATACTCAAAAAAATATTGTTGAAGGATAAAAACAGAATAATGAATCAAATGTATTAAATTATTTTGTCGAATCAAACAAGTATGGAAATGATCTACAAGTAATTTACACGCTACCAGATTGTTGTTTCTCTATTCAAGTGTCATTTACATTTATAAATCCGAATAGTTAGGTAATCCTTTTTTTGTAGTCACCTCACTCAAGGGTCAAGCCCTGTCTACGCAATTGGAACAAATCTCGTGTGAACGAATCACCATCAAAACACTACTACGTTTGAGTCAATGCTTAATCATTTACATTAATTACAAATACATAGTTTTTATAAACAAAAAAATACACATATCGTCTTTTTTTAATTGCTTAGATGAGTGGACGAACTCACAGCCCACCTGGTGTTAAATGGTTACTGGAGCCCATAGAAATCTACAACGTAAATGCGCCACCCACCTTGAGATACAAGTGCTAAGGTCTCAAGTATAATTACAATGGCTGCCCCACCCTTCAAACCGAAACGCATTACTGCTTCACGGCAGAAATAGGCAGAGTAGTGGTACCTACCCGCGCGGACTCACAAGAGGTCCTACAACCAGTAAAAAATATAACTCATCTTAGAGAGCTTCGAATACTAAAACACCTAAGTTCTCCTACATTCGTACTACGTATTAAACGGACAAATTTGCATACGACCGTGACAAGTATTTACGTAACATGTAAACAACGCTTAATACATACCTACATATTGTGACAGAAACGTTGTGATTTTATATTAGTACTAGCTGACCCGGCAAACATTGTTTTGCCATATATAAGATTTCTAGGGAATTTCTAGTGTAGAAAAAAAAACTAACTTATTGTAAGTGTGTAAGGATGTGGTAAATGAGTGAAAGAGGCAAGTAGCGCTGTGAACGTTGAGGGAATATATAATAAAAATAACAAAACCTCATTCAACCACATAATACCTCATTATAGAAAAAAAAAAGTCCAAATAAAAAAAAAATGTTAGGGGTGGACAACCCTAATCACTTAGGGGTATGAAAAATAGATAGTAGCCGATTCTCAGGCTTACTGAATATGCATAAAAAATTTCATGAGAATCGGTCAAGCGGTTTCGGAGGAGTATGGGAACGAACATTGTGACACGAGAATTTTATATATTAGAAGAAGATTACGCGGTTTTTGACTCACTCGTGCGCGATTTTGACTTGCATTCGTTTTGAGAGGTAAACTCAAATGTGCATTTAAACCGGTCACTTATTAGGCTGCACACGCTAACTAAGATTCATTAAGAACACACTAAAACTGTTACTCAATATGTTCTGAGAGTAGGTATAATTAAAAATTACTTAATCGTTGTGAGCTACATTCCTACTTTGGCTAAACAATTTTGAGTCAATTTTGAAATTGAATCAAATTAAATGATAGACTAGATTCGTAGATAATCTGTATTCAAAATTAATACTGTATAATATAATATATTAATAATGTAAAGATTAATACTGTATTCAAAATCTATTGATTATAGATTAATATTATAACGTTGCTTCAGTCTTAACATTAAAACAAAACAAAGATATTTTCTTACTGTTCTGTGCTTTGTGATATTCTTTAAAGCCGTCAACAAAAACACTTTCTCGTTTAATTAAATTATTAAATTAATTTCAAAATTTGGAACGTTTCGAATATAGAAGTTTAAAAAAAAAACAATTTGTAATTATCAACTTAATACGTGAAGCAAAAACTTTGTATCCCTTTTTACGAAAATTGCGCGGACGGAGGAGTATGAAATTTCGCACACTTATAGAGAATATAGAGAAGGAGTGCAGAATGTTAATATATTTTTTTTTAATTATGCCTAAAAAATACATTATATCAATTAAAAAAACATTACACACACTAACTACCATGTACTTGACGCACACACGCATGCATACTATTTATTTATTGTCAAACTTGTTCTTGACGTCTGTGGTCCAATTGAGAATAGATTAAATATTGTTTGTCTTTATTAATATTTTTCTATACTGTAGTCTTGGCGAAATTTGTGATCATAGAAGTTTAATTGTCTTTAAAAATAGAATCGTAATAGTGTACAAACTTACAATTTCAGTTAATTATAGTCGAATTTCGACTACTGCGGGACCACTAGTATTGATAAGCTTTGCGTGTACATTGTATGAATCTTTCTAGTCTCGCGTAGGTACGTACCTTGTCGGGATGCGCGTCCTCCAACTCCAGCAGGCGGAACTCCATGAGCTCGAGCTGGTCTCGCGCGTCTCTGAGCGCGTCCTCTAGCCTGGTGCACTCGCGAGCGGCGGCTGTGGCGCGCTCGACGGACAAACGGCACTGCCCGCATGACTGTCGAACAAACGAATGTACTGTAACCATGAATTACAACTTACGAGGACAGTCTTCTATTGAATACGTCATCGTGAACAGTTCGTACGGGTCTTGTCTATCAAGGCAGATGTTAAAAAAGTCACTTATATTCATAGATCGACTAAATCTAATGTGGACTATCACCGTCATCCATCTAGAAGTACTCTTTCCACAACAAACATTGCGATAGATATTGCCATCTGATTTTATTTCTTGGATGTGCCAATGACATTTCATTTTAGGCTAACAATTTCAAACAGCCTTTTAAAAACCTTAACAACTATTTCGTCCCTCAAACTGTAACGTATATTTGCAGTCTAAATAGGCAGGACGAGGATATCTCGTGTTACCGGTCAATAAGAAAGACCAACTACATTACAAATTGATGAGACTTGTGATGGAAGTCTCTATTCAGCTGTACAACAGCAGTCCAAAACACACTGACTCACAACACATCCTATCACCAGTCCACTTTCAAGAACTTGTCACCCTTACCATGTGAAGTGGTATAAAATGTACGCATTAAATAAAATCATGGTCGCCCCAAGCATCGCGAAACACAATACTATGACGCAAGCAGCGGGCGCCAATAGTTTACTGGGTGACAGAACGATATAAAATGCAATACTATTTGACATTTCGTTTATATACGATGCTAATACGATCAAGGTCGTAACTTGGAATCTTCATGATCTGTTCGTTATGATATGCACGACTCATACAAGTAGATCCCTTGTACTAATTACTGACCGCGCAACTCTGTGTACTTAGTGCGAGTTTTTGAACGTTCTCGATGGCGTAAAAGTTAACTAAAATGAATATGGACTTGGAACGTTTGCCTACGTTTGCCGCTAGGGGCGCTGTACCAATTACAATTGCAAATTTGAGTTAACTTTTACGCGATCGAGAACGTTAAAAACTCGCATTAAGCACGCTGTTTTCGAGGAAAACGAGTAAGCAGCCGCTTAAAAATGCATTTTAAATTAAATTAAATAAATCCATGGCGCTACTACCAAAACTAACTTATCGAATAGGTAGCAGTAGATAAGTAACTGAACTGATTTATATACAATAACGATTGCTATAATTTGTTTTTTTAAATAAGAAACAAGTGTCTAAAGTATAAAGTTAAAAAAGTATATAGAGATCTACCCAGTGATTTTGCGTAATGTAACATTGCTATTATTTTTCTCATAGGAGCTATATTATCGCGACAACTTAAATTACGGAATATACACACAACTCATCATCCTAGGTAAGTCAGGTTCATGATAATCCATAGCATAAAATTTTCTATTCTATTGTATTTAGTTTGGTCCTACTAAAATAATACTGTCATCTCATGCGGGGCTTTCCTCTTTGTCGCTTTCCCCTTGGACCACTCCACGAAGAGACTCTTTTTGTCCAACTTTCATTCTGTAACCTCATTGTGGCCCGCCCATTTTCATCTAAGTCTTTGGATATAGCTTATAGCGTCGCTAGCTTTTGTTATATTTTGTGATTTTGTGTATCTTAATGCATGCGTTAAAACGAACAATTATCAACCTGTACCAACTCTGGGGGTCTACGGAGATATTTCTTTTTTCTTTCTGCACTAATATTTTAAAGCAATGAAAAGGATGAGAATTTTGGAATGTGTATACTAACCCACATATCGTTAAGTGGTTGCGGTGAGAGAGAGGCGGGCGCGGACGATACCGCCGAATCTTCGTCTGAAGGAGCCTCCTGAGTACAAAAATGAATATTTTGTTATTTAATTTTGGAACATTTTCCAAGACGCCAAATTTGGTTAGATGTTAATTTGTTTGCTGTAAAGTAAAAAATATTATACATTAAAGTCCTAGTCCTAATTACACAAACTAAGGGATACAAAAAATCCCTAATTCGATTTTCGGTACAATAATCATTTCCCGAGTTGTTGATTATAAAAAAAAACACTTCGATTGAAGATGACTCTGTGGGAACTAATCGCAATTTATTGTATTCAGTCATTGTTAATTGACTCAAACTAGTATTAAAAGGTTATTTATTTTCAAAAAATGCTTTTCAGCGGACTATTGAAATATGTTTTTAATGTCTTGAATCTTTTCTTTCGTTCCATATCTTAAGATAACTTCGGATCCAGACATAATTAGAAAAAAATTATGGATAAATCTGTAAATGAAGCCCTTGGAGCTGTAATTTTCTTTTTTTCTTGTTGCGCGCTAATTTTTTTACGAGTTTACAGCCTGTAGAAAATCACCCATGGTATTTTTTTTATATCCCTTTATTCTTGGGACTAGTACATAAATCCAGATTACATAACTAAGATTTGTTGTAAAAATTTAGAGCGTGTTAAATTCCCGCAGATTAGTTCCGCTGCAAATGTTCTATTCTTAGATCCAGCCATGTTGATGACTACTTTCATTAAGACAGTGAATGTTGACAGTCATTCGTATGCATAAGCGATAACGGAGACATAATCCAATCACACTACTCAGGACCAACATAAAGGAATTATTCCAAGCCATCCTTGATAAAATAGCATTTAATTTTTTATTTATTCCTTAGACGATCTTACTGCCCACCAGATGTTTAGTGGTTACCGAAACCCATAAATATCAACAATGCACTTTGATACATGAGTACTAAATCCCAGTTTTTACAATAGAACGTCTAACTCTATCCTTCAAACCGAAATGCATTACTGCTTCACAGTAGAAATAGGCCGAGTGGTGGTACCTACCCGTGCGGACTCACAAGAGGTCCTACCACCAGTGACCAAAGACATCGCCGAATATAACGCTAATCTGTTCACTTTGAATTATTATTTCTGTATTGTTTGTTCAAACTGCATAATCTCTTTGGAAATGCTGATGCAAGGTATTGTTCGTTTAGTTTACTACTATAGAGTTGAAAAAAAATATTTTAATTGCGACTTACCCTGTAAAACGTTTCTTTCCTGTGTTGAATATCCGTTTTTAGATCTTCACGATTACTCTTTTCTTTTCCCTGTAACAAATAAAAAACACTAAATAAAAAATATATTTAACTTAAATAAATTTTATTATTCGATTTTCGATTCCGAGAACTATATAAAACATCAGAGAGGATGTCATCTATCCCATATAATAAACAAATCTAGGATTCAGTTATATCTCTCTGTTTTTAGAGAATCATATAAGCCTCACGAATAATTAAAATGTAGCTAAAATTAGTTACTAGTTCTAACAAACTAGTCACAAACTCGCTGCCGCTATTGATGTCCATGAGCGCTTGCCACTGAGTTTCTCGCCGGATCTTCTCGGTGGGTCGCGTTTCCGATCCGGTGATAGATTCTGCGAAGCACGGCTCTTGTTAGGATTCGTGTTAGCAACGCCGTCAGGTTTGAGCCCCGTGAGCTCACCTACTAGTTAAGGTTACGCTGATATAGCCTCTCAAGGCTCTCAACTTAGGTAGGAAAAAAAAGCGCTAATGACTACATCAAGTTAGATAGCCCACCTGCTTGTTTGTCATCGCAATAAAAAAGAAACAGTACGAAGCGTTCAAATTTAATTTACCCTTTTAACATATGATTATCCGCGCCATTGTTCAGAATAATCAGTGATATTTCGAAGTACCTACCTACAGTAACAATACGACTTTCGATAATACGCCGGCCAATCAAGGCACTCGACCTTCGCTGCGAACCACCGAGATTAGCCTCCCACGGTCCTGAATTCTTTTGCAACCGTATGTCACGATCTACCACCGGTCAGATGTCAGCCTCAGGCGGACATTGATAGTAGCGGTCAATGTAAGACTTAATGCTTTGTATACGTAGTTGTACAATGTTTCTGTGTGCTTAATGCGAGTTTTTTAACGTACTCGATAGCGTACAAGTTAACTCAAATTTGTATGGAACAGTACCCCTAGCGGCAAACGTAGGCAAACGTTCCAACTCCATACAAATATGAGTTAACTTTTACACGATCGAAATGTTAAAAAACTCACACTAAGCACACTGTTTACCCTGGTAATTAATGAACCCCTGGGTGCTTAATGCGATTTTTTTAACTTTTCGATCGCGTAAAAGTTAACTCTCTGTATGGAGTTCAAATAGCTTCTTTTCATCTGCCGCTAGGGGCGCTGTTCTGGTGGTACATTCAGCGAAGCACTGCCCTTGCTAGGGCTAGTGTTAGCAAATTCGTAAGGCTGAGCCCCGTGAGTTCGCTTACACGTTAGGTGAATCTAGAATAACCTCTCGAGGTTACAAGAATTGGCAGGGGAAAAAACCGTGACTTTAGAAATCTTAAGTGCTTGTCCTAGCTAATATTCTGATCTATGCAATAAAAATAAATAAATAAAGAATTCATTTATATATCACATTAATAAAGTAGAACAATAGTATCCACGATTTCCTCATCATCATCTATAATTTTCTGAGTTTTTTTGTTTTAAATCAGTAGAGCAAGTCACACACTATGATTTTGCTAATAAAATACGTAAGGCGATCCTATTTGAACCTTCTTTTCTTTTTACCTGTGTGACCTGTGCGACTTTGTACCTTTGATAAATATAGGTACAGCCTGAGGGAGTTCATATAGAGTCCCTTCTTTATTTCGCCGTAAAGTCGTGTTTTATGTAATTAACACCACAGCTGAAACAATATAAATTTTATTGTTGTAGCGGCATAAACAATTCTAAGTAATTATTATATTAGTTATTTAACACATTATAAATTATTTTTTACGTTTTAAATATTTGGCGGCAAAACGGTCCCTTGTCACAGACTATATTCTTTTTCCAACATCTCGTGCGTTCCGGCTTACGCATCATAAAAATGTGCGTTCATAAACGCCACAAGCCTATGTTTATCAAAGGTTCGCCGCTTCAAGACGCAATTGTCACAAACCGTTATTTATAACTCCTCAAGAGCATTAAAAAAATATTCTAATTTCAAATGAATCTTTTAAATCTACACTTTGAATAAAACAACTTTCTCATGAAAATTAGAAAAGGAGTCTATCTACGTCTATACATAGTAAATAAATTTAAATGTGAACAATTAAAATGGTACATGCTCTTAGATAATTAAGCAGTTTGATATTCAGGTTGCACAGAGATGGCTAATCTTGGCATATACTTCAATTGATGTAGGCACATGTCGGCTATCACGTAAGTTTTAGGTGTGGTATTTTTTTCTTTAGCAATTTCCAGTTAGTTTCATTATAAGTACATATCGAGGGTGAACGGCCATTTGGTCTAAGCGACATTTCGCTTTTTTTTTCTTTTTTTTATTGCTTAGATGGGTGGACGAGCTCACAGCCCATCTGGTGTTAAGTGGTTACTGAATCCCATAGACATCTACAACATAAATGCGCCACCCACCTTGAGATATAAGTTCTAATGTCTCAGTATAGTTACAACGGCCCACCCTTCAAACCGAAACGGATTACTGCTTCACGGCAGAAATAGGCGCGGTGGTGGTACCTACCCGTGCGGACTCACAGGTGATCCTACCGTCAGTAATTACGCAAATTAAAATTTTACGGGCTTGATTTTTATTACACGATCTTATTCCTTCACCGTGGAAGTCAATCTTGAACATTTGTCAAGTACGTATTTCATTAGAAAAATTGGTACCCGCCTGCGGGATTCGAACATCGTTGCATCGTTAGATACGAATGCACCGGACGTCTTATCCTTTAGGCTACGACGTCTTCAAAAATTTACAGAATATATCTCAGCCTTGAAAATCTGTTGATACGTAGATGTTCACGGCGTACATTTCTACGTGTTCCACGGTAGTCACAAGCGTTAAATTGACTAAACACGAAACGTGACCCACGGATTCCGAGTTAATTTTGAACCGTGAAAAAACAAGTTCAATGCCATTGAAATTACACAACTACCAACGCATCTTCTAATAAAAAGTTGCAATTGAATTTCAAATTAAAACCGTTAATTTAATATCGAAAACTGAAATTGAGAAACGTCTGTGAAAATTAACCTATATCTATGATAATATCTCTATATATTCATATGTGAAGCAAAAACTTTGTATCCCTTTTTACAAAAATTGCGCGGACGAAGGAGTATGAAATTTTCCAAACTTATAGAGAATATTGAGAAGAAGTGCACAATGATATTTTTTTAAAATAATGCATAAAAGATACATTAAATCAATAAAGAAAACATTACACACACTACATACCATGTATTTGACGCACACACGCATGCATACTATTTATTGTCAAACCTTTGTTCTTGACGTCTGTTGTCAAATTGAGATTAAATATTGTTTGTCTTTGTTAATATTCGAATTCGAATTTCGACTACTGCGGGTCCTCTAGTATTATCAAACACGCAAAAATGACCAAACATATTATTGTTAAGGTTAATATAAGCGTGTTAAAAACAATGAGTGATTTAATTATTGTAAAAATTATCATAAGAATCGCCTTGCCTTAAAACATTTCAGTGAAAGCAAATAGAAAGTCATTGATTGAATCTTATCGATTATCAACATTCGCGGGATGGCAGATGCCCTGCATTGTTTAGTGATGTGAAATTTCAAATCGATATTTTGTCTTATATTTTTTATTGGTGATTCGATTATTGATTGATAGCATAATTAAATAGCATAATTCAGCGGTAGGCAGCGGCTTGGCTCTGCCCCTGGCATTACTGAAGTCCTTTGGCGACGGTAACCACTCACCGTCAGGTGGGCCGTATGCTCGTCTGTCTACAAGGGCAATAATAAAGTAAATAAAAAAAAACCTATTATACAGTGAGCAGCTCTTTGAGAAACAATCCGAAATGTTGATCGTTCATAGTTTTCGCGAAGCTTGTCTTCTTCAAATATGATTACTTCTTTACAAGGAAGTACGTTCCATAAGACAATTTAATTTTCCTCCGTAATTGCAGGCTGTTATGGGTTCGATGGCATTTGATCATTCGCCATGACATTTCCTTCATAGCTATGAAGTCATTAATGACTTAAGATAGCAGTTTGGCGATGTTTATGACCGACTGTGACCATGTAACACATCATCACCTATTCACCTGCCTTCAACCTCGATAAAAGCTCGAAAACAATAATCAAACATTTAGAAGCTTTAGTTAACCAAAGGTCATCAGTTCATTGGCAACTAAAGGAAACTTATTGTTGCATTCAAACTAAACTCGCATAGAAACTATTGTGTACCGTATTATGAAATAACAAAATTATATATGTACTTAAAATTTTAATTATCTAGAAGCACAATCGAAAAAAACAAATTATCGACATTGACAGGAATTCCTTAGAAGTTCCCTTTTTATACTTCTTTGTAATGTTATGAGGCCATATGACAACCCTGCAGACACAACCATTAGGATGCTTTTACTGATTATAAAATTCGAAGTTTATTTCTTTTGGGGGTTTTTGAGATTGAAACTCCGGAGATTCTTTAACCATCTTAAAAAACATTGTATATGTTTGCTGCCACATTTTTTGCTATGATTATAAGATCTAATGTAGGTTTAATTTTAGGATTTCATAGGAATATTTCCATAAACTAGAGGTCCCGCAGTAGTCGAAATTCGACTATAATTAATTGGAATTGTAAGTTTGTACACTATTATGATTGTATTTTATAATTCTATAATCACAAATTTCGCCAAGACTACACTATAAAAAATATTAACAATAGGCAAACAATATTTAATCTATTCTCAATTTGACCACAGACGTCAAGAACAAAAGTTTGACAATAAATAGTATGCATGCGTGTGTGCGTCAAATACATGGTATGTAGTGTGTGTCATGTTTTCTATATTGATTTAATGTATCTTTTATGCATTATTTTAAAAAAATATTAGCCTTGTGCACTTCTTCTCTATATTCTCTATAAGTGTGGAAAATTTCATACTCCTCCGTCCGCGCAATTTTCGTAAAAAGGGATACAAAGTTTTTGCTTCACGTATTAATATATAGATGCTTCTACCGATTATAAAATTCGAAGTCTATTTCTTTTGAGGGTTTTTGA